GACCCAACGTATATCATGAGAATGACACAATAGCTAAATACGAGATCATGGACGGTGCCCCTGTGAGAGGTGAGAAAGCAGATGATCCCTTTGAAATTCTTCTCCTCGAGTCTTTAAGGGTGGGAATATGAATGCTGCAGTATTTTCAGCTGAATCTGTGAGCTCAGTAGAAATATGCATCCTGTTTTACAGGTGAACTCATGGTCATTTATGTGGGTGATAAAATAGGACCCTCTTTCTTCTCTGGTATGATGGGAGGAATAGAGGCATAACGAGTTGCAGTGATTTTACTTAATTCTTTAATGAAGGAGTGGCAGAACCAGGAACAGATGTAAATTCACAGTTGGATCGGACCATCAGTTGGCATTGCTGCAGCTCAGGGCAGAACATGTTTTACTTCAGTGCCAGCCTCCTGTGCCACTTGTTTTCCAGTTCCATTGCCTAGCAGAGTTACCTGCCAGAGAAAAATGCCACTTTGTTTTTTCTCGCAGTGCTGTCTTCCTGCAGGCCACAAACAAGTTCTGTACTGTTAAAGCTGAGAAGAAGTACTTGCTGCCAGTAGCAGGATGTGGCAATGTACTGTATGTGCTGATGGCTTTTTGAAGGAACTTGAGGTCTTTCAGTTCATTTTGGACCTCTTCTGGAAACAGTCACAAAGTTTGATGCGTCCCAGTGAAATGTGGTTTTGCTGGCACTCCTAGTTTGTATTTCCAGGTTCCTATGCTGATGGTTTTGTGCTCTTTGCAGGGGAGTCCATTCCCATCAGACTCTTTCTGGCTGGCTACGAGCTGACTCCAACAATGAGAGACATCAATAAGAAGTTCTCAGTGCGTTATTACCTCAACTTGGTGCTGATTGACGAGGAAGAGAGACGCTACTTTAAACAGCAGGTGAGAAACAGCTGTTTGGTCCTCTCGGACCCACAGGCTGTCACTCGGGTTACTGAGGACCTGCTGGATTCCTGGGAGGGAGAATCACTTAATAGAGTATCTGTAAGGACTGGAACAGCTTAGAGCATGCAGAGAAGGCCTAGAAGAGATGGTCCACATGGGTCGGATGTGTGTTCTGCTGGGAATGCACGTATAAGGTGCTCACCCAGTAGTACTTCTCATCTCCCTCGCTCCAGCACTTTGATTTATTGCTTCTGATGTAGTTACCAGTGGCAATGGGACAGATCTGCCCTAGACATCCACTGGGTTTGTCTCCATGCCCAGATCCTGGGGATGATGCTCTACCCAACCTTCAGGAAGGCAGCACAGCCGGCGTGGGCAAGTTCCCACTGGGTGCAAGCTGTGCTGGGCAGCTTGATTCAGCCTTTGGGTCTGGGTGGGGCTGGGGGCAGGTCTCACAAGCCCTGACAGGCCGTGCTGGATGTGTTGCTGCAGGAGGTGGTGCTTTGGAGGAAAGGAGACATAGTGAGGAAGAGCATGTCCCACCAAGCAGCCATCGCCTCCCAGCGCTTTGAGGGGACGTCCTCACACACGGAGGCCAAGACCCCCAGCCAGCCTGCAGAGAACAACGGCCGGCAGTGAGAGGCCACGCAGAGGAGGGCTGCTGTGGAGCCAGCGGGGACAGCAGCGAGGAGGAAGAAAAAAAAACACTTCAGAGACTTTGTGGGGAAAGAAAAAAAAAAAAAAAAAATCTGTTTTTGAACTCAATTCCTTTCTTCAAAGGACTAGCAGGGTGGGAAGGGGCTGGGAGGGCAGGGCGAGGCGGAGCACTGGTGGTGCAGAGTTGAAGTTACCTCAGTGTTTCCCCATCAACTACATTCCTTGGGTCGGCTGCTTTGAGGCGCATCTGGAGGCTGCGGAGCTGCCTGATCTCCTCTTTGCCCCAAGACCCTTTTGGTTGTGGCTGCGAGGAGGGAGAGAGCAAGTGAAGGCCAAACCTGCTGCGGCTCAGCGGTGCGGAGGTTGCTTTGGGACTGCGTGGGATGGATATTTTTCTTGCCTTTCAGAAATCTTCATGGGGGAAAATGGCACGGCATTTAGTTGGAAGGTAGAGGAGGGAGTCGGAGACGCAGCCTACTTGAAGTGGCTTCGTTTGTCTCCTCACTGCCTCCTCTTCCTCTTCGTGTTGGTGGTGGATGCTTTGTTACAAGCAGTTACAGAATGCAGTTGAGTCAAGCAGTGCCACGCAGCCACTTTGCTGGTGGAACACGGGCAGCAGGACGGCTTGTGTGTCCTTGTGGGAGCTCCTGGCTGTGTGCTGGGCTGGGGGCAGCTGGGCTGGTTTGCATGTGAATCCAGTAGGACATGGAACAGAGAGGTGGCACAGGTCGGGCAATGCAGTGAGGAGCAAGCAGTGGTGCTGGCTGGTCAAGAAGTCAGGGCAGGAAGGCTGCAGGCTGAGAGCAGTGCCTTCTGAGCATTGTCTTTGAGATTCAGCCTTTGGTTGCAGTCTCAGCTGCAGTCCCAGCAGGGCAGACCAACCTCGGGAGGTCTGGAGCACAGTGCTGGGATGTGAAAAATACTATGGGAGTGAGTTTGTACTGCACGTGCTGCTGTGCTTATGCTTTGTGTCTTTGTGACAGAGCAGGCAGAGAGCCGTGCAGAAACATGTGTTGCATTGTTTGCTTTCTCGCCTGCAGAATGAGGATTGGTAAGGCCAGGAAGAGGATGCAGTTGTTTAAGGAGCTCGTGGCTGATGCATGCTGCTAGAATAAGCCAAGCAGCAGCTGGAAGGATGGTAGAGTTCTCAAATTCCAGAGGGACATTCTTGAGGCCTGAGCTGAAGTCACCAGTGAGGTCTGAGGGTGTGCCTTGAACTGAGAACCTGAATGCAGTTATGGTTGTTTTTTTTTTTTTTAATTCTAAAATAAGCTGCTTTTAGTCTTCAGCTAAGTAGAATCATGAGAACATTCCCAGAATGGAATCATTCCTCCATTAAAAATTAGAAATAGCTTTGTAGATTTGATTGAGTTTGGAGAATATGCATCCTGTTTAGATGCCCTTTGGAGAAGCAGGTGGTTGGAGCTCCTACCAGATGGAGGGACAAGCCTGCACTAGATGCTGGGATAGGAGCTCCATTATGTGGGAATTTGTTTTCCTGCAAGTTTGTGGCTCGCTGTGGTTTTGTCCAGCTTCTTTCTGATTCTGGAATGAACCTCCTCTGCCTCTGTCCTACAGCTGAATGTAGAACAGTTGTCTTGCAGCTGGGAAATGGAAGCATCTTCTGCTTCATTTAGTCGAATGATGCTGGTGGAGGGAATGGGGTCAGGGTGGGAAGGGGAGCTTTTTATGTAATAAGACAGCTACTGTATTTCAGTGATCAATGTGTGTTTCTGCTTGCCAAAGTAAGTTATCTTTTAATCACCATGTGTAAGGTTGTGGTTTTTAGTAGAGCTGGGCAGTCTCGCTCTGTTGTAGAGGACACTAATGAACTCATCTCTGCTGAATGCTCGTGTCACACCATGTTTCTGCTCTGTAATAGTGAAGACGTGACTTGCTCTTCTTTACATGAGAAGTGTGTGCCATGGGCTGGAGCCGTGTGCTCCTCAGACTGAAGCAAAAGCTGAGACAGCTACCTTGTTATGCCAGGGCAAGGGGTGGTGATGTCTGCAGGTCTCACCTGGCAAAGCAATCTGGATGTTACTTTGACACTCACTTATTCTACTCCCCCTCTGTGAAGGGGGAACCAACCACCTTGCTGTGGCAGTACACAATCTTTGAGACAAGTGAAGCTCCTGCAGGAGCCTCAGGGGATAGCAGACTATCTTTCCACAGCTAAGCTGAGCACAGCAGCACCCAAACCACCCTCTGCTTGCCCTCAGCTCCCCTCCAACTTAGAATTTTTCCCCTCGTGAATTCCTTTTGATTGTAGGCCATGTGGTATTAAAGAAACCCCGTGGATGAAAATGTCTTTGCATTCCAGGAGTGGTTTGTTTACTGTCTGAGCAGCATCAGTACAGTCTGACAGGATAATGTACTGTAAGGAGATTTCAATTAATCATCTCTTCATCACTTCTAGAGGGCTTGCTTAGAATGAATCATAGAATGGCTTGGCTTGGAAGGGACCTTAAAGATCATCTGGTTCCTCGACTACTCTTCCATGGGCAGGGTTGAAAAAAAGTGCATGAGCCTATATGGCTTTTTGTTTTGTTCTTTCCTCCTTTGTACCTCTCTCCCCTGTGTCCCCAGCTGCGGAATCACAATTTAGAAATGATCCCCACTTTTACCTAATCTAAGGATCGTTTAACCTGTTGCCCACCATGCCCTCTGTTTGTCTGGGGTGGAGCAGATGTGCTGAGCAGATAAGTGGGAGCATAAGAACAAGGTACTATAGGAAAGCACTTCATTAGTACGGTGGGGGGCAGACACTAATTGAGTTGTATTCCCCTGAGCTGGATGGTTCTGTCCATTACTTGGGTCATTCCCTCTCTCCTAGGCAGCTTCAGGTAGGGGGGAGTGGGCAAGTACTAAACCAAGCAGTGCAACTTGTAATTAAGCCTCTGCTGTGTTTACATGTTTCTTAATTCGTTGTCTTTTCAATGGCTGTATTTTAAAACTTTTTTTTTTTTTTTTGTCTCTCCAATTAAAAAAGAGCCAGCCTTGGCTGTCAAATGCTGTGCATGAGTTTGTCTGATATGATTTGTAGTGCCTGGGTTGGGTCATTGGCGTTGTTGGGTTTTTTCTTTTATGGTATTAAGGCATTTTTTTTTATATGGTCTTTAGAAAGTATGTCACTGTTGGAAGCCGTGCCTATGGAGGACACTTAACCTAAAAATTAGCAGGCTAATTTCTCTTTTCTGATGTCACTGCTAAAGTAATATGGAAATTTTGTACCTGCAGGAAGTTAACAATGATCTGCTTGACAGTAATTAGGTTAGATGTGCATACGCCAAAATTTTCTTGCTCTAGACAGAAGCAAAGTGACATCTTTCTGCAGAAAAGTGTCCCACTGCAATACATGGAACTGCACTGCATCCTCCAGAAAGGAGGAGAAGAAATTGCAGAGAGAAACTGCAGAATGTCACCACTGCTAACATTGAGTAGCTGTAATTGATTCTAAAAGGCTTTATTTAAAAATAAGCACAAAAAAACAACAACAAACAACAGTGTTGGGGTAAGGAACATAAAGCTTCAAATCGTTTGCAGGCTTGTTCTCCTTGCTGTGGTTGAGTAAGTAAACTTGAGAATTATGCTGGTTTAGGAGGAGGCATCAATGGGCTGGGTGCAAGCTGTGCTGCTGTCAGTTTCTTAATGTGGCTTTTCCTCTTCCAGGCTCAAGACAAAATCAAATTCCTCTGTATTGGAAAGGTAAGGAAGAGAGAGTTGTAAGTGGAACTTCCAAGTTGTCTGGGTTGAAGGCTGCCTCTCAGAAAGAACGGCACTGAGACCAAAGGAGGAGAAGGCTTTTACCTTGTGTCAGTGGTTGGATGGAAAGACGTTGTCTTGAGAAGAGCATCATGTTCTTTAGGGGCCCTCCATCTGCTTTATGTGCCAGGTGGTGAGTCTTGATTTCAGAAAGGGGGATGAAACGTTTTGTCATCCGCACAAACTGGACATCCACCTGGCAGGTGATGAGCAGCAAAGGAGCATGGATGAAGAAGGATTTAGCATCCAGAGAACACATAAGATCTTTGGGGAAATAAGGATTTTAAACTGAATCACATGACTAATGTATAGTATCTTGTAATGGTATGGAAGTTTTTTCTTGCTGAAGGCTGAAAATCTCAGATGCTTCTGGCAGGACACTTGTTTACATCAATCTTAGCACCATGCACTAGAAACACATGTTTGTGTGGTCACAGACAATATAAAACAAAGCTGCAGGTTATATAGGCAGCTTGTGAGCAGTCACTTCCTTATAATGTAGTATGAATCAAAACCATAGTTTTCATTGCTATAGACTAAGAGTAGTGCTTGAAGATGTTTGTTCTCCTTTCTGACCCAGAATTCTGCAATGGATGCAGAACTGACCTCCATGCAAGGAAGATCTGAAGAGATGCATTTTGTTGTGGAAGTAACAGAAGAGTAGAGAAAACAATCAGGATTGGGTTTTTCTCTTGATTGAGAAAAAGGTAGGTAGGCTAGGGCAGAAGTTTCCAAAGATATGCAATGTAAGAGGCTCCTAACTGCACTGGGATCAAACACAGAGTTTAAAGTGATCATATTTGGTTTGCTACGTTACCATGGACCATTTGGGGTTCTCTTTTCTGCTGGAGGAATCATAATGAGGATCCTTCTGATCGAACTGTGTGTGATCAGGGTATGCTTCCTTTACAATCTGAAACAGAATGGGAGATGACTGTGAGACAAGCTCCTGTCAGTTAAATGCTGTTGTCAGCAAAGGGTATGAAATGCCTTGAGAAAGCTGTGCCTAAACAGTAGAGGAATAATGCTGGTGCAAAAGTGAGCCTTGCTTTTTCTGAAATCCGCTCTAACAGATATTTCCTTCCTTTAGATTCCTTGGCTGGAAGCACTGCAGAACAGTATGGATGTCAATGGAACATAATCATCTCTTCAGAGAGCAAAGTGGAAGGAGCATAGATACCCTAGGCCTATTTGCTGCTCCAATGAGACTTCCTTTTGCACTCTTCTGGTTGTGAAACAGAAGTAAGGCTAACAAATTGTTTGATAACCCACTGATTACTTTTTTCCCCCCTGACACATAGAATGAGGCACTCACCTTGACAATGCCAACAATGCCAGGCTCTTTGCAGTTACTGTGATAGAAGAATGCCTGTTGCCCAAGTTTCATGGCTCTCAGGAAGTTCCTTGCCTGTTAAAGTGAGAGACTTTGAGCACTTGATACGAAACTCAGGGTTTCTTCATAACAGCTAGAAACGAGACCTAACAGCAGGAGAGAGGTATATGCTTCAGTGCTATTCATACAACTCTCCTATGTTGGTCATACAGATGTTTTACACTGCAGTGAAATGAAATAAAGAGCAAGATATTCTTTGTTAGAAGGTATGAGGGACTGTAACAGCTCAGACACCTTCATTTGGGGACAGCAAGAGACTGCAGTTAGCTGTCAGCAAACAGCCAGCAGAGCAGACTGTATTAAGCAGAGGTAGTGCATGTAGATTTCCTTTGCACAGGAATTCTGGAACAGACAGAGCAGACAGCTGCACACTGACAAGGCACAGTGTTTGGCTCAGTTTCTTGCTCAAAGGTGTCAAGGGAAATAGAAGCTGATCATCTGTGGGACCTATGAGAGACTAAGCTAAAGAAAAAATGGACGATTTAAGAAAATATTACCCAGCTTGCATCTACTTTTAATTCAGAGATAATTAAGCAGTTTTGACTCCTGACAGAAAACAGCTGTCAAAGCAGGCAGACTACATCAAAAGAAAATACTTCAGCACTTCAGGCAAAGGAAACAAGTCATCTGTGAAGAGAGAGAACATTTTTCCAGTGATATTTCAGTGACTCAGCCTTTGACATCTGCTTCTTACCTGGTAGTTTCTTACTCCTTCCCAGAAGGTTGTCTGATTGGGCTGAGCCTTCAAGTCTTCAATGCTGAACTGCCAAATGGAATGAACACACAGGTGAAGTCCAGGAGGCAGTTTGATCTCTGTTGCCTTGCTGTCTGTTTTACCTAAACGTTTGTAGCTCCTTCAGTTATAGTTCAAACTTCACAAAAATGTTTTTGTTCCCATAGGGTTTAAAGAAAAATCCGTATGAAGAAGGAATGCTTCACTTAGTGTAAAGGCAGAGCCTGAAACAGATGGAGACCCTGCTACCTACAGCTAAGCATTCTAAGGACCCTCTTTAAGTATCAAACCCCAATGTTGTCACCCTTCAGCTGAACAGAATTACCTTTCCTTTTTTCAGGAAGACAAGTGCTTTTCGAGAAGTACTCAAGACTCAATAGTGGTGATATTGCAAATAGTCTGAATTGTTTGATCCTGTAATTCAGCACTCTGGTGCTAATGCTCTGGTTAGGAGTGAAACTGCTTCTACACTTTGTTGATTTTGCTGAATAAGAATAATAGAATAGGTGTCAGTGCTTACTTTCACATCCACTCCCTTCTCAAGCCTGCTCTCTGGTTCCGATTTCAGAAGCCAATGGCAATATGTTATCTTGCTTTCCTCTCCACCAGAATCAGATTCTTTTGCCTTTTTCCAGTTCTTCCATCCTGACTTGGAGCTCCCAGCTGGAGGTTTCGTGGACTTTTCCTCTTCCTCCTTATCTTCAGTCTCCTCCTCAGTCTTGGCAATTTTAGCATCAGGCTCCTTTTTATCTTAAAAGAAATGAGGAAGAAAAGAGCATTCTGGTAAAACTGAATGTTTCTGCTAAGGACTGGTGCTGAAACCATTTTAGTCACCCAGGCTACTTTTACATGCTGTCCTATGAATGCAATCAGAAGTTTGGTGGATCTTACATGTAAGGTAACTGCTTTACTTATCAGTGTTTCTGCACATTTCTAGTTTGCATCTGAAATACAGATTTTGTTTCTTGTTGTGTGCATAAACAAAGCCAGGATAGACCATACCATCCTCATGAAGTGTTATTTGAAGGGCTTTTTTAATTATTATTAATCGCTGAGAAATTAACAGCTGGCCAAAAGAAGTCAATTTAGATCAGTCTGATAAATAATAGGAAAATTCAGCAGCAAAGGAAAATGTTTTGGTTACTGCATTAGCTAGAAGCCTTATGTTAAGCATTTACTGTGCTTCCAGTTTGGAGAGGGCCCCTTTGCCTGTTTGTCCTGCATGTACACAGCAAAAAGCAGTGATAAAAGGGAATGAAGGTGGTTATCTGCTGGAGCCTGTTCAACAGATGAGTAGCACAGGGGAGCCAACTGTTTAATTTTCTCATCTTATGCCTTAAACATCAGATAACGCTGCCTTAAGTGCAAGGCTTGTAATTATTTTTGTTTTGTGTTTTCTGCAGATGGCACCACATCATTTCTGTGCCACTAAACTGGGTATCCTTTGACCGACCAGCTCTAGCATGCAGGATCTGAAAGCTCTTAATAAACGGATGAGTCACATTTCTTAACTATCTTGTGCTGAGAATACACCACTGTCCCTCTCTTACACCTACCAGACTTGTCTCGGTCACACGTGGATGCTCAGCCCACTTTTTACAGAGGAAATGCTGTCTCAAATCTGTCCCAAATCTGTCTCAAAGACACGTGGCTTGAAAGACATGACGGTTATATGACTGTACTTGCAGTGTAGCCCAGAACCCCGTGTAAGAGATGCTCAATTAGTCAGGACATAGCACAGACCTGCTGCTGCTCCTTTATCTCTCTTTCTGCTTGGCCAAGGCATCTCTGGGCTCTCTGAATTCTCTTCACCGAGAAGCACCTGCTGAATGAAGGAGGGCAGATGACTGCTGCTTATTCAGGCAAGCTGGAAAAAAAGAAGAAAAAAAAAAAGTTGGGATAGCTGAGAGAATGGAAAAGCTGTGCAGTAAGTGCAGAGTATATTTCCTCCCTAGAGCTCAGCCATTTCCTCTATCAGTGCAAATCCTGGCACCGGTTGAGGACCACACCCGGGCTGCCCTCCCCAGCCGCGCTCTGATGGACGTTGGCAGCAGGGCTGCTTTTCCCCACAGCTGTTGAAGGAAAGTCCCGAAGGCGCTCGGCCTCACAGCACGGCCGTTTTCTGCCGTGTAAGAGGAGCCGCGCTGCGGGGAAAGCGAAAGCAGCTCGCTCGCAGCTCTCCGTCCAGCCTGCCCAGCGCGGAGCTTATTGCACGCAAGCATTCGGAAAAACAGAGCGCAGCTCGGCCGCTGGAACCGCAGCCCCGTTCTGCCGGCAGCCCTGGCAGAAGTTACGCGGCTCTGCGCGATCCTCCTCCCGTCAGTCCGGCCGGCACCAACTTTCCCACCGCCTGCCCCCAGCGTCCCGTCCCGTCGCTCCCCTCACCAGCTCCGGCCGCCGCTCGGGTTAAGGATGCTCCGCTTTGCCCGAGCTTCAGCGCGGGCGGAGGAAACGCGCCGTCCCCCGCCCTGTTGGAGTCGGAAGTCTGTAACCGTTATGCAAAAAAGGCATCGCCCGGCGGCTCGCCTCCTCCAGCGGCCAATGCGGGCGGTCCCGAACCGAGGACTACAAATCCCGGCTGCCGCAGCGGCGCCGCCTCCCGCACCGCCATGGCGTGGAGAGCGGCCCGGCTCCGCGTTACGGCCCCGCTGCTGCCGCTGCGCCAACGGGGGATCGCGTCCTGCATCGACCGTAAGGCTCCGAGGGGCGAGGCCGGATCCCGCTGCCCGAGGGAGGGGAGGAGGGAGGAGGGAGGGATGCTCGCGGTGCCGCTGCCCGTAAAAGCAGCGCTGACGGCCCCTCCTGCTGCACCTCTGTGCTTCAGACCTGGGCGTCGATCGGAGCTAATCACGATAATAAGCGCTGCACGAGGTTGATTGGGAAGCTGTGCTCAGGTTGTTGTGTCCGCTGACATCTTCCGACCTCCGCAGCCGCTCCCTGCCGGCGGTGGGGCTGAACCTGTGGTCTCCTAAACGATCCCGGAACGCTTTCCTGTTTAATTGCCCCGGCATTTAAATGTGACACGTTAAGGAGAGAAGCAGCAGCAGCTCTGTGAACGTAAGGGGAGGAACTAACAAAGCGACGTCGGACCTGCGTGCAAACAAAGCAGTTTTCCAAGGCACAACAGCTTTCGGTGCAGTTTCCAAAGAGGTTCTTCGCTTGCTTGCTTTCTAGCATCACTTTGAACTGGCAGGAGTGTTCCCTTGTACTTGTGCAGCAGGATGGTGTGGCAGCTGCAGGAGCTGTTGTGTCCCTTCCCCAACCTCACAGCACGGTGCTGAGCAGCCAAAGATGTGTGCAGCACTGGGGCTGTTTGTTTCTAACAAAGCCTTCTCCCAGCACAGATCCCAGTGGCTTCCAGAGAGCAAAGAAATGGGTTTCGTAGTGGAGAGCATGAATGATGACCTATTTGATCCCTTTCTGGTTTTCTAGCATCTGCTGGTCTGACAGAGGAGCAGAAGGAATTCCAAAAAGTGGCCTTTGATTTTGCTACCAAAGAGATGGCTCCTCACATGGCTGAGTGGGATGAAAAGGTACGGCAGCCTCCAAAGGGTTGTTCTGCTCCCTTAGGAGTTATTGCCCCCGGGTCCCATTGCAAGGATCCTTCAATGGCTTCTCAGGGCTGTAACGACAGCAATAGGGATTTATTTGAAGATGCTGCTAGTGGGGACCCATCAGAAATTCCCTTAAAGCCTTCCTAAGTGGGTAATTCAATCATCTGAAAGCTTGAATTTACTCCTGAAGATGTTGTGTACCTGTCTAGGTAACTGCTTATCTTTTAACCAATCCAATTAACAAACACTGCAGAAGTTTGGGACCGAACTTGGTGGCTGTGGTGTCTCAGAACTTCAGCACAGACATTCACTTTTGATGTCTCTGTCTGTTCCAATAGGAAATATTCCCTGTGGAAACAATGCGAAAGGCAGCCCAGCTGGGATTTGGTGGCATCTACGTGAAACCAGATGTGGGTGGCTCTGGATTGTCACGTCTTGATACCTCCATCATCTTTGAAGCCTTATCAACAGGATGTACCAGCACCACTGCTTACATGAGCATCCACAAGTGAGTGTCTGCAGAGGGGTGGATGGTGTCAGTCTGGCTGTAAACACTGTTGTTCTGTGGCTCTGCATCCAGCTGGAGACAGCTCTCCTAATGCTCACTTACAGCTGGGAGCCCAAACAGGCATCACATCACTGTGAGGATCCCTTGACTGCAGCAAACAGGCTACAAAAGCCAAGATGCCACTAAGAAGTAATTTTGGCTTCGTGGCATGCAAGATGGGATTAAGTTCAGGATTTTGTTTCCTGCTCATCTACTTAACCTGTCTATAGATAGTAACCTGTCTGGAAAAAGCTATTTTTTGCTTTGCTTGTTCTGTGACAGTGCCCACAGCTGATACCAGGACCTTATCCTGCTTACACAGACATGTTCAGAGAAAGGCTCACTTTGCAAAATAGAGCTTGGTCCTCAGGGGAATGCTGAGGCTGTTAAATGGGAATGTGCTGTTCCACAAGGCAGCAACCCTGGTATGAATGGAAGGTGATGTCCTTCCCAGCTTCTGTGATGTGTAATTTTGTTCCCTTTCAGTGTGCCTGGAGCAGGTGATGAGGGTCTGCCTCCTGGGTTAGTTTAGATTAACTAGCAGAGGTGGAACAATAAGCTTTCAGGCCTCAGTGCTTTTGTGGAACTTTGTTCTGTTGTGTCAGGAATGTTCTTGTATGACCCACCTTCCTTCTAGGGCTGTGTTCACATGCACACACTGTAATGCTGCTCCTTCTCTCCTGCTCCAGCATGTGTGCTTGGATGATTGACACCTTTGGCAATGAGGAACAGAGGCACAGGTTCTGCCCATCGCTCTGTAGCATGGAAAAATTTGCTTCTTACTGCCTTACTGAGCCAGGTGAGCATTTTCCAACAAAATCTTCTCCTCTCCCTCACTCCGAGTGAGGTTTTACTGGATGTGAATGTTGCCCAGAGCCAGAGGCAGAATGTTTCTTTTCACATTTTCTTGTGCAATCACCAGAAGTTCAAAAGGGGCACTTGATGGTTGGTGAATACCTGTGGTACAGACCCCAGTAGTTCTGGGTATGATTCCCAGGACAGCTTAAAGGCTCTGTCTTCAAAGATCTCCTCATTGGCTGCTCCCTTACCTCCCAAATAGGAAGTGGAAGTGATGCAGCTTCCCTGCTGACCTCAGCTAAGAGGAAAGGGGACACCTATGTCCTGAATGGCTCCAAGGTACCTTTTTGCTCCTCTTAAAGCTGCTGGATGGCACTGCATGCACAAAGGGTCCTGGGTCTCACCATCCTTTTCGTTTCCTTCTGTCTCCTCATCTCTGTCCATTCCCCACGCTGTGACATCCTCTCTAGGGCATCCACCAGAGCTTAGCACAGTTGGGTCCCTAAATGCCTCCTGGCAATGGAGTCTTTGTCCTTCTGCTTCACCCCTCCATTTTATACCCTGGCTGGTGCTGCAGGCTCTGAGTTAGCATACAGCAGCCAACCTTTTCCTGTTGTACCTCACTGCAGGCTTTCATCAGTGGAGGAGGTGACACGGATGTATATGTGGTTATGTGTCGCACAGGAGGCCCAGGCCCCAAGGGCATCTCCTGTGTGGTGCTGGAGAAGGGGACACCAGGCCTCAGCTTTGGCAAGAAAGAGAAGAAGGTAAGAGCCTTGCTTTTTATCTCCTGTGATGGAAGAGCAGGACAGAGATGAGCTCATCTGCAAAGAAAGCACCAGGAATCTTTTGTTGAATGGGACTAGAATCAGCCTGGGATGTTTTTTTCCAACCCACGTCCAATTTTGATGAAGTTTGCACAATAACATCCACTTTGCTAAATGAAAGATTTTAATCTCAGAAATGCTCTGCTCAAATACACTCCAATTTCTAGCTCAGCACACTGACACCAAACCACATAGACCACAGGCTCTGAGGTGCTCTTGCAGCAGCTTGGCAATGAGATCAAGGGGTTGAGAGCAGGCTGGGCATTTCTGTGCTGTGAGATGGATGCGTGCTGCTCCCCAAGCAGTTTGGAAAGTACTCTTTTTTTTTTTTTCCTAGGTGGGGTGGAACTCCCAGCCAACTCGGGCTGTGATTTTTGAGGACTGTGTTGTTCCTGTTGGCAACCGGCTGGGAGCTGAAGGGCAGGGCTTTAACATTGCCATGAAGGGACTGAATGGAGGCAGGATAAACATTGGTAAGAAAGACAGACTGCAGAGAGACAAGTGAGAAGGGCAGGGTTACATTGCTGACTCTCTGCTTTAGCTTCATGGTCACTCTGTGTTGTCATTTTCTCCCACCAGCTTCTTGCTCATTAGGAGCTGCTCACGCCTCTGTTCTTCTGGCTCAGGAACATCTCACTGTCCGCAAACAGTTTGGGGAACCCCTAGCAAGCAACCAGGTAAACTCTCTACCAGATTTGCATTCTGTAAACTGTTCTTTGTCTCATTCTGGCTGAACAAACAGCTAGAGGGAGACGTTCTCAGTGTGTCAAAGGTAAATCTGAAGGAAGATCAGAGATCAAAGTCAGGAATGTGCTTTTCCACAATAAGAAAGCACGGCAGGCACGCGACCTGCCTGCAGATAGCGGGGATGTGGTTCAGGGCACTCTAAAGATGCTGACCTCATCTTTCCCTCGTGCTGCCTGCTGGCAGTACCTGCAGTTCAGGCTGGCGGAGATGGCGACACGCCTGGTGGCAGCGCGGCTCATGGTGCGCAATGCTGCACGGGCTCTGCAGGACGGACGGGAAGATGCAGCCGTGCTGTGCTCCATGGCCAAGCTGTTTGCTACTGATGAGTGCTTTGCGGTAGGTTACTCGAAGCTCATTCGGCATCTTAATTGGAATCTTGGGAGATCCAAGCATGTTCATTGAGCCGGAAAACTTGTTTCGGGACCAGGATATTATATGGGAGAGAATTCTGCACCGTGTGGAGGCTGCAGTATTTGTGTCTCCACAGCTCAGGTCTCCTGACTTCTAGGGCTTTCTACTCAACTTTCTAAAGGACGAAGCAAGGACACAAGATAGGCAGCAGAGCGTTCTCGTTTTCAAAGGGTAATACACACGTTACATGCTGATAACTCCTAGCTAGTAAATGGTCTTTCCTAGACCACTCAGAAATCACTCATTATCACAAAATGTCCCCGAAAAAAAGAAAGCAAGAAGAGAGAAAAATAAATAAAAGTGAAATCTGTGCTATGACACTTCTTAGATTAGTTTCATACAGACATATTTTCTGAGCATTCTGCACTGTTGCTACCTGCTGTGTTGTACGTCTGTAGTTGGTAGATAAAGACACATGGAGTCACATTTCAATAGAAATCAAAGCCTTGAACAGATTCCTCAGCTGACTGCCACTAGGTGGTGATCTGGCGTTTTGGTTTTTCTATCAATAGCAGCATGGAAACGCAGCAAAACCCGCCTTTGTTAAGTAAAGCCTTTTTTGGTTACTTATAGGCTGTATTGTTCACATAAACGCACCATGAATGTGAAACAGCACTTAGGTAACATGATAGCACTGAGAGCAGCACTGATGGGAACTGAAAGCTCCTTGCTGTCACACCAGACTGCTAAGAGATGAGATTAGGTGACCAGAAAAAAAGAAATGAGCCCAGGTTCCCTGGGTTCTTACCGTGCTTCTGTTGCTGACTTGTCCTCAACACCACGCAAGTCACTTCAGCAGCAATGCTGTCTCCACAGATCTGTAACCAGGCTCTCCAGATGCACGGGGGCTATGGCTACCTGAAGGATTACGCGGTGCAGCAGTTTGTGCGAGACATCAGAGTCCACCAGATCCTGGAAGGTAAAAGATGCTGTTACTAGCAGGGATTTGGCTGCGTACCAAGAAAGAACAGGCTTTCCAGGCCTTGCCACATGACTGATTCTAAGGTTTCAGAAGCTAGTTTTGCCCTGAGCTTGAACTGTGCCTGGGTATCACATGCACGCATCCCCCAGCCAAGAGCTATGTGTGTAAAATCTCCAACTCTCTGGAGAAGTTGCCATGTATTTGAAGGGTCTTACAGCAGGGGGAGATCTCTGTCATGTTAGTGGTGCCTCCATCCAATTTTATCCAATGACTCCCACAGACAAGTGCTGACACTCCCCAGCAGATCCCATTTAGTCTTTGGCTTTCTTTCTCTACCACTTCGGGCACAACTGCGTGTGCAGCGGCCTTTTCTAATCCCAGTTTGACTTCCTTCCCATTTTGTTTTCCCTTCTTTGAAACCCGCCATGTAAAACCAAGGCGCCGTGTAGGGATGTAAACTTTCCTGTGCTTTCTGTGTGTTGTCTGTGTGTCACATAGCAAAGCACTGAACTCAGCTGTTCACACAGATCCTCTGCAGCTCAGTGTTTGGTGCCCTGCCAGTGCCCAAATAAAAAGAAGCACTAGCATTTCTGAAGCCTCTCCTGAGCAATGTGTCAGCACTGTGTATTTCAACCTCAGAAATGCCACCTCATGTGCTACCCCCGAGGAGAGGTTTTCTGTGCAGATCAGGGAAGAACTTTGTGTGCCCTCACTGGCTGCAGAATCAGACCATCCCTTAACCATCTTTTGCCCGCTGCAGGTACCAACGAGGTGATGCGGATGATTGTGGCCAGGAACCTGTTGCAGGGGTGAAGCCAGGAGCAAGATCCCTGCATGGAAACAGCCTGCCTGCCTTACAGCTGGGCAGCACCCACACAGCCCACAGCTGTGCTCCGTCCCTGGCATTGTGCTGTGCAGCCTGAAGGTGTCAATCACAGCTCCAAACAAGAGCCTCTGTCCCCACATCGTGGCTGTGGGCCGCCTGCCATCCATCCTCCATGGAAGCAGATCCCGAGTTGGGACACAGGAGCTGCGGGCAGAGCTGGAGGCGTAGCCTGACCGCTTGGAACCATGTTACCAATTCAACCTTAATTCAAAGGAACTAATCGCTTAAAAAAACCCATCGTGGGTGCGAGGGGCAGCGCTGCACAGCTGCTAACCACGAGCACAGCAGCAGCGTTTATGGAGGAGCTCCCGTTGCTCTGCAGCGCTCCTCGCATCCCTGCGGCGCTCTGCAGCCCAGCACGCAGCCCTCGGATCGGAGCTCCGGGAGCGCAAACGTTGGCGAATCCAATTTCTTCCTCGCAGTTGGAATCAGTAAAGCTGTGATTGTAAAGTGATCAAGTTCTGGTCGTTTTCTCGCGCAACGAGAGCGCTGCAGGCCGGACCGCGCCGCCTGACTGACGGCTGACTGACTGACTGCGGGCCGCTGCGCCGCGCGCCCTCGCCCCACCCTGAGGACGAGCCAATCAGCAGCGTCGCTCAGCCAATGGGGCGGGGCTCGGCGGCGCGCAGCCAATGGAGGGCGAGCGGCGGGCGGAGCGGCCCAAAGTCGCGCTTGGGGCGGGGGGGCGCGGCGGCGGCGGCGGCGCTGGTGGCGGTGCGGTGCGGCGCGGCGGGGCCGCGGGCGGCCGCCATGTGGCCGTGCGGAGGGCGGCGGCAGCGGCGGTTCGGTGGCGTCGCGCTGCTCCTCCTCGTGCTGTGGCTGCTGGCACGCAGGTGAGAGCCGCCGCGGCCCCGCCGCTCAATCGGTGCTGGGGGCCGGGGGAAGCGGGGTTGGGGGCGGGCGGGCGGGGCCGAGAAAAGAGGATTTAGGTAAAAAAAAATAGTACTAATAATTAAAAATCGTCAATTTCTTTCCGATATGGGGGAGCTGCGCCCAAACCGTGCGACGGCCCCGGGCTCGGGGCCACCTGCGGCCGTGCTGAGCGCACCTGAACCCGCAGGAGCTGCTGATGGGCGCAGCGCGTGTGAACTTTGTGCAGCACGGGAATGAATTGGCCGCTGCTTTATGGGCGCTCAGGGGCGGGGGAATCAAACGAACGTCTCTGGTTATCGCAGTGCACATCGGCGGTTAGGTGCTCGCCCAGTGGAACGGGATTTAAATAAACACGGCGGTAAAATGCTAACTATTTCTTGCCTGCTGTAAAAGCGCTGGGTGCAGAAGGCGTGCCGCGGTGGGGCGAGCCGCCCGTTGACCTCATGCGTTGCATCAGAGTGCATCAGATCCGATGGATCGGACCTCTGCGCATCGATCCGAGCGCCCTGCCGGCCGTCGTCTGCCTGGCCACGTGCGTGCGTGTCATTGCAAAGCGGTGGCGGTGGGAGCATCGGGCGTCTGGCTTCACCGAGAGTGAATCCATTGAAAGCCGTCGGTTGGCACGGAGCGCTGCCCCGTGGCTCAGCTCACCTGAAAGTAAAGCGCTGTGCAGTGCGCTGCTGGTCACTGCGGTGTGGGCACGAGAAGGCAGCTGGAAGCTTTCACTTTTGTGAGGTCAAAAGAAGCCTGAAATAAACAACAAATTCTTCTTGGGTAGCTCTAAGCAGGGCTTAGGGATTAGCTGTAAAGTCCTTTGTCCTCTGAAGCGCATCCTTTAGTGTTGCCAAAGACAGCTCGTAGCTCTCATAGCCCTTTATTCCCCACTTCTTTCTTTTCCATCGTTCTCCCCATTCTGAGTGCGTGGTGTAGGGCGATAGCAAAGCTCCATCACACCTGGGGTGCAGGGAGGACCTCAGCCCTCCCAACCCTCTTTGGTGCCAAAAGCTGCTGGAGCTGGGAGGTGGGAAACTTGGAGGGGACTTTTCAGTCAAGTTCTGGCCAGGATTAAGAAGATGAGCTTAAGTGATTAGTTTATTTTTATCTGGCCACGTATGCTTCCTAAGCACCGTGTTCCTTCTGCCTCCAGTGACACTGTTTGCATCAGTGCTGTGTGCAGGTGTAATTCAGGGCTTTGTCTGGCTCAGGAACAGATTTGAAATGTACTTTTTTCCAAAATTGGAGCTTTGCATCACCTGAGCTTCTGAGCTTCCTGCCTCAGGCTCTCCCAACCAATTCCTCAGGGCAGTGCTGCTGCTCCCCAGCCTTAAGTCATCATTCTGTGGCTATGCTCAACTTCTGGTGGTGGGCATTTTTGATCCCTTTCCTATCCAGGCAGTCATCCTTTAGATACGACTGCCATTCATTTCATACTGATTTCTTCTTCTTTGCAGCTGTGCTGTCTTCATAAAAGTTCTGCTGTTCCTGTACCACCTTCTGAATGGGATACATTACTTTGTCTTTGCTCAACGCCATTTTCTGTAAATGATTTGATAAATGCACAAGTATTCATTGACTGAGGGCAGTAAATTCTAACCTAGACTTGCTTTTCCAGGTATTACCCATGCCTGCCGCCTGTTGTTTCAGAGCCCTGTGAGAATGCTGTTGTACACAGGTACTCTGTGCTTGCCAGCCAGCCCTGCCATGTGTGGGAAGCCCTAGATTTAGTTCCTGGTAGTGTCCCTGTCTCATGCTGGAGGACAGGTAATGGCTGCAGGCTCCTGGGCAGTAATCCCTGTAGGCTGTGAGCTCTGAAAGCCTTTACCCTCTGCTAACACCCGCTCTGCACTTAGTATAGAACACAGCCAGAGGCTGGGGCATTTCCCTCTCCAAATGTGACATTTCTCTGAAATGTGTGGGTCGCTGTTTTCTTGAGACTGGAATTCATTTCTTGCATCTGGCTGTGATGATGTCTCAGTGGAACAAGCTACTATTGTCCAGCTCTGTTGTGTATTCATTTGTGGAACTGGGGTGGTCTGATGGAGACACTGTAGCTGCTTTGGGTCTGGACTAGCTGATAAGAATGTTTTTTTTGATTCAACCAAAATGAACTGGGGAGCAGTGCAAGGCAATAGGAGGTAGTTTCCTGCATGCAGGAACTGACCTGAATGGAGCTGTGATACGAGCATTCCAGCTGGTAAGTGCTTTGGAACCCGACATCTCATTTGGTCTGGTTCTTCATGAAGGAATTGCTGTAAGCAGGAATGCAAGTGGACGTAAGCTTGCGATGGCAGCGGATGCAGTCATTCCTGAGTGATGAACTGAATCTCTCTTTAAACTGAGGGGGTGACACGACGAATCCCTTGTAGGAGGACGTGTTCCTTTGCTGCAGGCTGGCTGCTCACCTTTCCCCTTTTCTCTTGCAGGTTTAACTGGAGTGAGCTGGTCCCACTGCGGCTGTGGGGCAGGACGCTGGGGCTGCAGACTGAGCACTCACAGTTCCTGTTGGAGGGAATGCCTTTCCGTATCTTCGGAGGTTCGATGCATTATTTCCGAGTCCCCAGGGAGTACTGGGAAGATCGCATGCTCAAGATGAAGGCGTGTGGCTTGAACACCCTCACAACGTGAGTGTGCTCTCTCCTATCCCTGGGATATGTGCCTACAGCCCTGATGGCTGCTTGGGACGTGGCAGTGGTGATGCCTGCTGGTACTTGTTATGGCAAAAGATGAGTTTCTTGTCCTGCCAGCCCCTTTAGCATCTGTCTGTGGTTTACACAGCTGCGGTGCCTTCAAATTTAGATCGTCACTTAAATGTAGACAGTGATTGCTATTCCTCTTTGCTGGTCTCACCGTGTTTGATGGTCTTGAGAAACTCAGGTACTGCAGAGTACAGGAAAAGAGTGCAGCAAGGAAGGGGCTCGTGAGAGAAAGGAAAGAGGCACAGATAATATTTAAGTGGGGACTTTGTAATGTGTGCATTCTGTAATCCCTGAATCTGTTACTAAGAAATGGAGCGCACAGCTTTTTTTTTCTGTGCTTCACAGCACTTTGTTGTCACTGCCTTGACTTTGCCTTTCAGGTATGTACCGTGGAACCTTCATGAACAAACACGAGGGAAGTTTGACTTCAGTGAGAACCTGGATCTAGAGTATGTGGTGCAAATGTTGTCATTAAATACTGTGGGGAAGGGGGTGCGTGTTGGTTCTGGGTGAAGATAGCATTTCCAGCTTCTGAAGCAAAGCCTTGCCTTGGTCTGGTGATGGAGACCCTCACTTCTCCCCCTGCTTCCCAGAGCCCTGGGAGCTTACAAGTTTAGCATCAATGCAGTGTAATTATTTCACCTAGCAATTCCTTTCTGATTCTGGTACCTAAATTCTCATGGTGATTGGTGTATTAGGAGCACGTGGAGTTGGGATGCTGCAGTCAGACAGTAATCATAGTGTCTGCATCTCTAGGGCCTTCCTTTCCCTGGCAGCTAAAAATGGGCTGTGGGTGATTCTGCGTCCTGGACCTTACATCTGCTCAGAGTGGGACCTTGGTGGCCTGCCCAGGTAAGTGCAGGTGAATATTCATGTTGTTGTTGAGCTCTGCTGTGGAATACAGATAGTAAGCCTGGAAATGTAATCCTTTTATTTTGTTTTTTGGTGGGGGGAGGAATTATGTTGTTAAACAATAGCTGTTATGACATAATGGTCACAGCAAGAAAACAGAATTGAGGAAACTTGTCTTCATTGCTGTTGCAACTTGACTGTCTTCATAATACAATCAGTAGCATCTGCAGCTTGATGCAAGGATTCGTTTCATCTCAGGTCCATTTTAAAAGTCCTGCTGGAACATATGTGTCATCTGACTGGCAGTGATAAAGTCCTAAAGTCCTATAGCTTCTGCAAACTCCTGCTGTGTTTTCTCCTAAAGCACACTGCTTGTTGGTAGGAGCCTTTGGGAGCTGAGCTGAGTACATCAGTACTGAGGCTTGCTCGGTTACTGGATCCCAGTGGAACCAGTGCCTGGTTACATGCCACTTGTTTTCCTTCAGTAGAGACACGTGACGAAACTTGGGGATTATTTCTTTCAGTCTTTTATTTATTTATCTTTCCAAAATGCCTTTTGTATCCCACACGGTTCAGGTACAGAACTTTGAAGGTGATTTTTGTGAGCTCACTGAGCTGGATGTCTTTCCAACCTCTGAAAGCAGAACTCGCTGATGCCTTTTGCAGAGGCAGGGGAAGTGCAGTGTTACTCTGCTTATATTGTTACAACAGTACGTGGTTTTGCTCTTAGACTGCCTGTTTCTGTGTTAACCCCCAAACAGCCAACTAAATCTTGTAAATCAGCAGAAGAGACCATGGGAACAATTACTGGAACCGTTGATTTGAATGATGATTGGGGTTTTATGAGAGAGCACTTAGCTGTAGGGTGCCCTTGGGGATGCAGGGAATTCTGGAGTAACCTTAGAGTGATAAGCTTACCCTTTTGTACTTGTTTGCTCTTGAATAATCCCCTCTATAGTTATCACTTATGCTGTTGCAAGTAGCACACGAAGAGCAGGCAGGATTGTTTTGCCTTCTGTGTTATCTGCATACAAGCGTCTGCTGCAGCAACTTTGTTTCTGCAGTCCTGTTTCTGAAGTTAAAAGCAGCCACCATAACTTAACATTCAGGTTTTAGCTTGTGTGCAAGTAGAAAAACGTCCTTTGCCTTGCAATCTGAGTGTGTTTTGATTGGGCAGAGGGCTTAAGAGAGAGCAGAGTTGAGCACAGATTACGTCATTGGTGACTCCCTGTGTCGTCCACACCTGCACTGAGAGCTTAGCCAAGTGACACAGGAGGATCAGTTATTCCTGCCCAAATGTGGCTTGCTTTCAGTGAGCGGTGTTTCCTCTAGCAGCCTGGACTTGACATGAGGCTTTAACAGATCCTGTTTGCTGTTTTTTTCGTAGTTGGCTGCTGCAGGACCCAGAGATGCAGCTGAGAACAACATACAAGGGCTTCACAGAGGCAGTGGATGCCTATTTTGATCATCTCATGCCTATCGTAGTCCCTCTTCAGGCAAGTGCAATCCATTGCCCCTCTGTGCACAGATGAGTGTTGGGCTGTGTAACAGCAGCAGGTCGAAGCAGTGACAAACCACTGTTGGCTATAGTTGCCCACGTCAGCTCTGCAGTGTGAGATGTTTGGTTGTGCTGGGAGGGTTGTGCAGATCCGTGCATCTTTTCTGTAAGCCAGCACTGCTGTGATTTTGCTCCTTCTGATTAGAAATCACAGTGAACATCTCCCTTTTGTTTCCAACAGTACAAGAGAGGAGGTCCCATCATTGCAGTGCAAGTGGAGAATGAATATGGTTCCTATGCCAAAGACCCAAACTACATGGCCTATGTGAAAATGGTAATGTTGGCACATTTACTTGTTTCTGTGGTGAGTCCCAGTCAAACCACCTTCCTTGCAGTACTTTCTTCTGAGTAAATTTGACCATGGCTTTGGGAAGCCTTGAAAGCATCCATGCTAAATTCAGCTGGATTTTCCATGGTACTTCTTTTGGTTACACCTCTCACTGCTGGCAGTCTGAGTTCCTGTGTATTCAAGAGAAGAAGGTAACAGAGAAATGGAGGAGTGGCCATCATTCATAGCTGGCCTTGAAGAAGCTGTCTCCTGCTAATCCTGCTTTGCTTCTCTTGAACAGCATTACAAAGGGTTTCTCCATTCCTAATCTTGTGTAATCTGAGGTTCAGCATCAGGAAGGTTGATTTACCCAAAGGAAGGTTAATTTACCTAACGTCTCCCTTACCCTTGTCAGTTGGAATGGACTGCTCCCTGCCTCCAGGCTATGTGGTGAAGTTGGCCAGTACCCAAGGAAGAAAATCTAACATGAGTCAGACCTGCTCACTCTTCCCCAGTACAATAGCAAGGCAGGAAGTAACAAGATCAGCAGTCTGTCTTACAAAGCTTGTTTCTTGTTTGCTTTTCATTGAATACCTGAAGCGTTACAGTAGAGAGGTTGTACATCCTATGAACTGTGTGTTCTCAGCATTATCAGGTCTTTTTGTGACCCTGTGGGTGTGCAGGTGTTACCCTCAGTGCCTTGAGGTTGGTTCCGGTGCAGGTCATCTCATTGTTCCAAGAATATGGAGGCTCTTGCATCAAGGCAGGAGTCCTGATCTGCCCTGCTTCTGACTAACTCTACCTCCTGGAGTGATTTCATACTGCTTGGAAAGATATATAGCAAGTATGCATACAAGTACGTTAAGGTTGGGTGCTGACCTGAACTGATAAAGTCAAGATTGCCTCTTTTATCTGCATAGTTTTGTTCCTTGTTTCCCATGTCCCGTGACAAGCATGTGGGTAAGTGGCTTTCAGGGCCCCAGATGAATGGGGCACAGAAATTGTTGTGTCTGAACAACGTGCCAGCTCCATTCTTACTTTTCTGTATCTCAGTGATGAAAGAGCTTGTGATGTTCCATAGACTTGTCGGAACAGATAACGTTTCCTCACCAGGCCTGTGGGTGTATTTTTATGGTGCTGCTTTGTTGTATGCTAGAATTGTGTACAGCTTACAGCTGAGGAAGTGCAGTGCTTCCAGAAGAAGCCGTGGGAAAGCTGGATGTGCAGGGCTTCCTTGGATTGGAGTGGGGTCTGTGGTGCTTTGGGCAACAGCAGCAAGTAGATCACACCTGCACTTAGCATGCAATGCAATTCACACACAGCCTGAAAACCTGTCCTCCTCTCACTCTGCTGGGCCATCTCAGGCCATGAGAGGGTGTGCTGGCAGTGACCTGGGGTTAGCTGAGCACACACCTGTGTCTGCCTCAGACATTGCTGCTATTCCTGGATTCTGTGCTGCGCACTGAAGTCCTGCAGTGCATTTCAATGCCTTCCAGCTCTGCTGTTTCCCAGTGCTGCATTTCCATTTTCAATGGAAAATATATTTTAAAAGGAAGAGACTTAGCTCTAAAGGCTTAAAGAGTTATCTTAAAACTTACTAGAAATTCCAGTTCTGTTATCACATCCCAGCATCCGTTTGGGTATTGATGCAGTGATGCCAGATCGATAAACTAAACACGTTTTTTCCACTCTGAATTGAATTTGTCATCTCTAACATAGATTGTGTGTGATGCTCAGGTGTCCTCTGCACAGTGTGTGTGGGTGTGTGCAACGTGCAGAAGGCTGTTTAAATGAACAGCAGGTAGTAACGAGTTGGCACACGTGCTGTGGGTGCTTGTATCACCATTTTGCAGTTCGTGGTTTGGTATTAAGGAGGGTGAAGGCGTGTGTTCAAAGCTACTTGGAGCTGCTGGAGTCCCTCTGACTGCAGCTGTACTGAGAAGAGGGGTTAAGTTGCTTCTAGCTGTTCCTAATCCCTCTTTCAAACATCGGCTGCAGTGTGAAGGGACAAGTGTGAGAGAACACTCCTCGTGGGAATAGCATACGTGTGCATGCATTTTAACAAAGCTGGGAGTGCCACTGCATACAGCACTCTGTGGTACTGAGGAACCCATCAATTCTTTCAGGCGTGACTATCCAAGAACCCCAGCTGTCCTGTGATGGATATGCTCACTGGCAAACGGGCATTTTTCTCCTATTAGTTATTATTGTTAGACAAAGAGATGGTGACATCGTGCTTTAACACTGCAATATCCTGACAAATACAGAGCTCAGGCTGGTTAACACAGTGGTTTTTCCTCTTTTTAATGCAGGCTCTGTTAAGCAGGGGGATTGTGGAGCTGCTGATGACCTCGGACAACAAGAATGGGTTATCATTTGGCTTAGTGGAAGGAGGTGAGCGCTCTTGGGAGAAGCAGGTGAGGCTGTTCCTTGGGACAGCAGATAAAATTGAATGAAATTGCATTGAGTGAGAGTGGCTGCTTTGTGGCTGTGGCCGGAGCTCAGCCCTGGGTGGCTGCAAACATGCAGAACAACAGCAGTCCCTTCTCAGAAAGGTTTATTTCCCAGTGCACGGTGTAGCAGTGATTGCAGGGTTGCCCCACACGGAGGCAGCCTCTCTGCTTTTGAGGGTTCTGAATAGGTGCAGATGAAACACCTCGCTGCTCCTGTGTCACACCAGGCAGTGCTATTCCCTGTGAGGTTAGGCACGAGATGGCTGTGTTCAGACTAAAGGGCTGAAAACAGTACTTCTTATTGCTTTGTTTGAATATATACTAAATGAGCATCTCAGCAATTATTACTGCTATTAATTATTCCTAAGGTACCTACTTTGCAGTTCAAAACGGAAGAAAAAAAGTGCTTCACAGCCCAGATTGCAAAATGTAACTTCCTGGAAGCTCAGCAGCACTCTGTGGGGTAGCAGTGTGTTCTCAGTGAGTGTGCAAAAGGATGTCCATTTTGTATTTTCCTTTTTAAAAAAGGTGATTTAGAAAGTGTATGAAATGCTGCTTAGTGCCTTTCTTGCTTTCCAGTATGGAAAAAGCAGAGGCACAGTTGTTGGAGCTGCACCGTGCCCTAACTCAGAGTGCTTGGGATGCAGTGTGACACTGATTTTCAGATTTCCAGATCCAGTTGAGCTGTGATTGATGAGCCTGCTTGGCCTGCAGACCCCCCCACCCCTCCTGTGTGCAGCCTTTGAGTACTTCCATCATCTCATCTCAGGCCTGGAAATGATTAAGAGAGATCTTCTACATCTTTTTTTCCCCCCCCTTCTCTTGTTTTAATATGGACATACAAAAGGGACAAATCCAGCTCAGCAGTCTGTGAGCTCTCAGCAGTGCTCTCACAGTGCTTTGATTCTTTTGGAGCACAGCAGTTTCTGGCTGTGACCACATAGGGTCACCCTCTCACTGCTGTCCAGGAGATGTGGAACACCCCATCCAGCCTCAGCATCTTCTGCAGGAGTGTTTCCAGCTCCGAGCTCCATCATGCTCAGAGTTCCCTTTTCCAGCATGTTGCACACTGAGAGCTCTTTAATTCCTCTGTAGGCACAGTGAGTGACAAGAAACCCGTGCCATACAGCTCTGGTTCCCATCTGGGCACTGATGGGCACCAAAATAAAGCTCCAGGTTCCCTCCAGGCCAAAGATAAAGCACCATGATGGAAAGCTGTGTGTATGGGAACGTTGCCTACTGTGGAAAGTTTGAGTAAGGTTTTGGGCCTGGTTCTCCATCCCTGTCCAGTGTTGAATGGTGTGCTGTTGATCTGCACAAGGAGCAGAATTATGCGTTTTTGCCTTCAGGATCACAAACTAATGTATCACATTAAGGCTAAATCTACGTTTTGTTTTGTTCTCCTGCTGTGTTTGCCTGTGCTAAATTCTTCAGCTCAGCACACTATATAGATCAGCCCATTAGGTTCAGGTATATATAGAGAGAAGTAAGCTTTTGCTTCTGTAAGTATTCTGTTTGAAGTGCTCTGTCTGACACAACTGGGGCTGGATCCCATGCCAGCTCTTTTGTAAGAAGTCACTTTTTATAAGAGAATCACACTACTGCTTCTGCAGTTTCAAAGTTTTTTGGGGAAAACGGAGTGATTGAGGTCTAGAAGAAATCTGAATAGGTGCAGATGAAACACCTCACTGCTCCTGTGTCACACCAGGCAGTGCTATTCCCAGTGAGGTCAGGCACATGTTTCCATCAGATTAAAGGGCTGAAAATAGTACTTCTTATTGCTTTGTTTGAATATATGCTAAATGAGCATCTCAGCAAATGAAAACGATTCTAGCATCTGTTAGAGGCTGGGACACTGACAGCAGGTTGCTGTGTTGTAATACATCAGCTTCTGCAGCCAGCTCTTCCCTCTGCCTTTTGCAGCATGCAGCACTGCTGGCTCCCCTGTGCTGCACGGGGCAGGAGCACAGAGTCATCTTCCAATCACAGTTTCTGCCTGGTTCACTCACACTGCAGTCCCTCTCCCCATCCCCACAGACATCACAAGCAGTGAGATTGCCTGGGTAGACACTCCTGCAGCTAAAGCCTGGGAGGTTGGTGTGGCATCCAGAGATGACATTCTAATAATAAGTTTGCCTTTATGTGGTGCTTTTTATCTGAGGATCTCCAGGTGCTTTACAGCCTCTAATTAAAGCTGATGAGGTGCTCTGATGCTCTCTTTCTAGTAGCTCTGAATGCTGTGACTGAGAACACAACCTGCAGGTATTCCACTGTTGCTGTGGTCCTCTCAAGTCCCACATGCTCAATTTGGACTTTGATGGGAAATTCTTGGGGAGGTGGTTCAGGAGATATTCCAGTTCTCTCTGGGCTGATGCATGAGCCTATGCATGAGAGTGTTTTGCAGGCATCTAAATTAGTAACAGCTTTTTCTTTTTTTTTTTGACAGCATTGGCCACTGTTAACTTTCAGAAGTTGGAACCTGGTGTACTGAAATACCTGGACACAGTACAGGTAAGATGCAGAAAGACTCTGTCTAAGTTTCACAGGACAGCTTTATCTCAACAGAAAATTAGTGCTCCTTCTGTTGGAAGACAATATTCTTTGGGAGGATAGTTGCAGTTTTTGTTACCCTTTGGGTACAAGCAGCAAGCCCATTATTACTTGGGCTTTAATGACAATTAGATCCACAAAAGGGTCCTACATAACAAATTAGAAGGTATAGGAGGGCAACTAGTCCAGCTCCTAGAGTATGGCACAATTGCACCCACTGCTATAAAACAACAGGGCACTGACATCTGGTGATGGATGTGATTTGTCACAAAGCCACGAGCTGCAATAAACTGAATTATTTCTCTTTCCTTGGTTGAATTTGTAGCTCTGCCTGCGTAGATCTTTAGTGCCTAACAGATTTGAGTGCCTAGTAATTCTTTTCTGAATATTCACTGATTGATTAAATAATTAAAATGAGCACGCTTTGGCAGCAGAAGGTGCTCTCCATGAGGCTGTTTGGCAAACATGTTTTCTGTAGTGACAGTGCAGTGTGTACCAGTGGGAAGGACAAAGGACCATCCAAAGCACAAAGCTGGTGGAGCTGTGTGGTCCCTGCCTAACTTGCCTAACAAGAGCTTCTGTGGATGTTATTATATGTGTGATCCCCAGGAAAAGTAACTGTCAAACGTTCAGCTGCGTTGCTTTCTCTAATGCTCACTTTCATTGCTTACTCCACTTTGAAGTGTTGCTACCAATAGCATCCTACTTTGCAGTTGCCCTCCCTCCAGAAGGTCACTGCTCTTTTTCCCAGGCTCTTTTATCCTGGTGCTGTGCATTCCCTCAGGAGTCAGTTTGAAGGCTGTGGTCTTCAGATGCTGACTAAGTTCCCAGCAGCACCTTCCAGCAGTGCAGTGCCCTTGCAGCCCTCCGAGCAGCCCAGCCTACTTGGCATTTAATGTTTGCTGCAGAAATGCATTCACATGGAGTGTATTGCTTGAGCATCTCTAATTCCCTGTGCTGTCAGAGATGTGAATCAGTGTGAAAAAAGAGGTAGGGAATTGCCTAATGAGCATTTGATGCAGAAAGGATCTTGTGTGATGCTGGGGTAGCAAGGCAAGAGCAAATTTTGATTTTTAGTGACAGGTTCTTTCTCTCCTTGCATCCTCTGTCCTCTTCTCTCCCTATTGCTCTGTGTGCTCCAGATGTCAGCCTGGGAAGTTCTGAACAGCTGACATGTGCCCCTGGCCACGATCGATTCTATTCTGATCTCTTCCCCTGGCTTTTGCTCAGTCTGTGAAATGCAGCCCTGCTGTTGGCGTGCTGAGAGCTGAATCCCATCACTAACTTCTTTTTTGTCTTGTTCAGACAAAAGAGATTCTGCTTCATGTGCTTCTGCTTTCTTCAGGTCCAGGAAAATTCCACCACACACAGCAAATGAACAGAGGGCACCTTTCACACAAACTGAACACATACATAAAACACAGTCCAGCAAAAGCAGCTCCTCCATTGCCACACTTACTAATTAGAAGACAGGCAGCCTGTCATTCATATTCATAAGGAACGTGAGGCTGTTACCTTTTCCTTGTCATGATCTCTTATTCCAGAAGTCAGTAGAACTTCTTTGACTTGTTTACTGGGGATGGAGTGATTAAACATATTACTGAGAGCTGGTTTGAAGCAATTAGGTTATTACAGGCACCTGCAGTTGTTTTCTCCTAATGAAACATGAGTTTCTTTAATGCCACTTACCTTGGCTATCAGATAAAGCCCCTATCAAATAAATGACCAAATTGCCTTGACTGGAAATAAATACTGTGAGCAAGGAGTGCCAGTTGTTCTGTGCAAGGTGATGGGGCCGGGTGGAATTCTGCAGGAGCTAAGGGAGCTGGCAAGCAGTGAAGAATGGGAAGCAACTGCTCTGTGTGTAGAGCCTTTATAATGAAGACCTAATTCCTGCAAAGGCTAATTTTTTCCTGCCAACACCATACGCAGCATTAAAAAGGCATTAAGCTGCTAAGGTCTGCTGTTCCCACCTTGGCAAGCACTGGCTGCAGTGCACCTGCAAACCCTCAGCTGGCAGTGGCATAGCTGATAAGTAGACATTTATAAATGCCTATTTCTAGCAGAAGCTAAACAGTGACAGTTGGTTAGTCTTTTTTTTGCTACAGCTCTACCAAACAACAATATCCAAAACTGGTGGGTATCACCTGATGCTGTGCAGTGGTTGTTGCCTCGTGCCTCACGCTGTACTTTTCTGGGTTTTGCTGCCATTTCTAGATTGCTGGCCCACATTGTCATATTACTCACTGATTTATTTTTTTGCCCACTTGAGGAAAAAAAGGAGGGATGCATGCAAGACTCCCTTTGTTCATTTTAACTCTGTTTTTGTTTTGGTGCAGCGAGATCAGCCCAAGATGGTAATGGAGTACTGGACTGGCTGGTTTGATAACTGGGGAGGCCCTCACTATGTCTTCGATGCAGATGGTGAGCAGCACATGGTATTACAGAGGGGGAGATTCTTCCTCTGCAAACAGTAACAGGAAAATGACAGATCTTTTTCAGATGCTCTGTCCATCTGTAATCTTTGCTGCGTGTGAATCTTTGTAAGTGACCTATGTCTGAGTGAATGGGTCACATTGCTGTGCCCTGGGTTTTCTTCAGCAGTGCTGGTAAACAGCTGCTCTTTAATTCCTATTTTTCAAAACCAGCTTTCTTTTTATTTCTCCAAGAGGGACACTCTGAGCTTGTGCAGAAAACCAGACATCTGAAGATATTAGCTATGACGTGTTCCAAGGCCTCAAGCTGCTCTGTTGATATTGAAAATGTAACAAGTGCTTTAAGTTCTCTCTTTCACCTCCTTGAGCTAATGTAAACCCTGTGAAGACTTTTATTTTGCCAAAATATCATCTTCACAGAAGTTTTCTGCACCCCTCATCATAGAAACATCATTTGTCTACTGAATGAATGTTCTGGGAACAGGGCAAACCTAAGCCTTCTGCAGTTGTGACACCTTCTGATAAGTACTCATTTTTACTGGAGTTTACAAGCTCGTTAGGAAGGAAATCTAGTACTAAAATAAATAACTCCACAACCTCAAAGGCATCTAAGACTTGTGCAAGTGTACTTTAATGCCTGTTTCATCCTCCTGCAGTTGTCTTTGTAATTGGATCGTTGCTGTGCTGAGTTTAGGAGTATGATTGAGTAGTCCTTCTGCTTAAGAGCAAAACTCCTGCCTGTGTCCATGAGTTTTACTTTTTCGCCTATAGAAGGTGAAATATTTGCATGGATTAATCTATCCCAATGTGCCAATGGATGTGCTGCCCTTATTGAGGGCTAAATGCAGATCACCATACAAATTGCTGTAATTACACAGGCATGGCTGACTGAGAAGGACCAGCATGTCTGAGTCTGCTTTGAATTAGTACAAGAGGTTTAGCCTAGCTTCTTGGTTTGTGAACTTCTTGGCATTGCCTTTCCTTTACAGAAATGGTGAATACTGTAGCAAGCATCCTCAAATTAGGAGCATCCATCAATCTCTACATGTTTCACGGAGGCACCAACTTTGGCTTCATGAATGGTGCTTTGAAGACTGATGAATACAAGTCAGATGTCACCAGCTACGGTGAGTTCTGTCACTGCCTTGCTCATGCACCTGCTGTGAGAGTGCAGCTCAGGCTGCCCTTTGGGCTACTTAGATTTGCAGAAGCATTTTGAAATGATCAGTGCAACTCCATGGTCATGGTTAGCTGAGCTGGAACATAGCCCTGAAGCAAATGCTTATCTCAGAGGAGGCTTACTTTAATGTTTCCTGTTTGCAGACCCATTCCAGCATGTGTCACTAGGCACAGTGACACAGATCGTAGAGTACAAGTTTCCTTAACTTAATGCTAAGAGCATTGTCTTGGGCTCTCACTTCTTGAATGATGGTGCGTGTGCTTCTTTTTCAGATTACGATGCTGTGCTGACAGAAGCTGGAGACTATACATCCAAATTTTTCAAGCTCCGACAACTCTTCAGCACAATCATTGGTAATTATAAATCCTAGAGCCAAAATACTGTTGCAGTCTACTGCACTAAATCAGAATATTCTAAACTGCTGGAGCCCTGCGGCTTTGATTGACTGTCTGGGAGCATTTTCCAAAAGATGGGAAGGAGGACCAGGGATTTTGGGTATGTGGTTTGTTATCAGCAGGCAGGTAGCACTTGGCATCATCTCACTGTACTCTGAGATGTATGGTGGCTGTTTGGAAATAAATGCAAATCTGAAGGAAACACCACTGGCTATATTATATCTTACTTGTTATGTCTTAGTGTTTGCTGTTCTGAGCCCAGACAGGTGGCAGTTGTTGCAGAATAACTGTAGTTCTTACTCAGCCCTTGCACTTGTTTCACGTTTTTTGGCAGCAGGTACAGGGCTCTGTAATTCAATGGGAAGATTGATCAGAAGAGGTCTGGAGAGGCCTTAAATCTGTGTCGGCTTTTTGCATCTGAAATAGTTGCTCCATCTTTCTTTTTGCATTACAGGCCAGCCTCTTCCTCTCCCTCCCATGATTGAAAGCAAGGCGTCGTATGGTGCGATCCTGTTGCATCAATACATCTCTCTCTGGGATGTGTTACCATCACTTGTACAGGTAGTACCACCGATTTTATGCAACTCAGCATGAAGTCATCACCTGTTAGCAGGGAAAGATCTGGTACTGGCATGCAGGGATAAGGATAGGGCATGTTTTGTCAAGCAGACCTATTTTTTTATCTTACCCTTCTTACTGCTGCTTCTGTTCTCTTGGAATTCCAGCTTTGCAAGTCCTTGGCTCTGTTTTCTGGTACTTTGCCTTTATTGCTGTAGCTTTCATAGGGTCACAAGGTAACTCAGGTCAGAACAGATCTCTGGGAACTCCCAGAATAGATGTGATCTGTGGCATAGTGGAACGCCTGTCTCAAATGAATTGCCTCTATGTGACCTGTTGGTGCTAAGAGAGCACTTCTGCCATTCAACATCTTTCTCCTTTGCAGCCCGTTAAATCAGAGTTTCCAGTTAACATGGAGAACCTCCAACTAAATGACAGCAGTGGGCAGTCCTATGGATATGTACTCTACGAGACTGTCATATTTGGTGGTGGACACCTGCATTCTAGAGACCATGTCCGGGACCGAGCACAGGTGAGGAGCCTGGGGCCAACTTCCCACTGATGTAAATGCTCTGATCTCAGCAGCTAGGCAGCAAATGGGCCGACCACGCAGTAAGATGTGATGGTTTTACATTAGAACTTGCTCTTTCAGTTCTCACCTAAGTGCCAACCCTTTTCATTTGGAAATCAGCTTGAGGTCTGCTAAAACTCAGAATATCTTTAAATTTTGAATGTTCTGAGAAATGTTGGTTTTGAATCTTTTTTTTTTTCCACCTAGACTGAATCAGTGAGAGAGCTGTGGACCCTAGGTTCTAATCTCCATTAGAGACAATTTTCTCCCCAAATACTGCTCTGATAACCTGCACAACACACGACTGTAATTGATGAGATGCTGCTCTTGTCTCTTGTGCTCTGTTCTGCAGGTGTTTGTTAACACCATGTATGTTGGTGAGCTGGACTACAACACGGTGGAGCTCTCCCTTCCTGAAGGACAGGTAACTTGATGGAGGTTGCACACAGAACCAAAACCTCTAATGAGATGTAGCTCCCAAGAAGGCACCTCCCACCTAATCCATTTAACTAGCTGGTATAGTATCTGATGCGGAGGATGTTGGTATGCCCTAACTAGACACCATTTCACTAGTGGAACACAGCATGATTTCACTGCCAAGTTGTTCTTGCTGTGCATAGCCCCTTGGGTAAGGTGAGCAGGCATGAATACTCAGTGCTGCTCTTGAGGCTCATGGCAAAGCTACATGCCAAAAGCCTGCACTGTGTTAAACTTCATTTCTCCATCAAGCTGGTATTTAAAAATTCAACAGAAGAACAAAAAGGAAAAACCTTTATGAAGGGGCTGGGACCATCAGTAAGCAATGAATTGCAACTGCCGAAGGTCGTGGTGCTACCTCCCCTCTTCAGCACTGCTGCTGACAATTGTTTTCCAGGCATTAGTGCTGTGCACTGCTCTGATGCTCTCCCATTTCTTCTTTGTTTCTTCTTTTTTCACAGGGATTCAGGCAGTTAAGACTCTTGGTTGAGAACCGTGGTCGTGTCAATTACGGCCTGGCGCTGAATGAGCAGCGGAAAGGTGAGCTGAGTTTGTTGTTCATGGAGCCTCTCACTGTCTGAGATGCTTCTCTGGGCTTAAGTACTGTGAAACTGACTTTCTTGTGTACTTTACGAACTGAAGACTGATGCAGCTGTGTTAGTTTTAGCCAAGGCATGAGGGAGATGGTGGGAAATGGTGTGACAGAGGGAACCTGTGAGAACTGCTGTTCATCACTCCCTGTCTGGAGTGATTGTAGATGAAAAGCAGTGGCTGCTTGACAAATTACATTAAGGCTTCTCATTTTATAGGGCAGCAGTTGAACCCAAGGCCATCACTGAATCCTACTCTGTTCGATTTTGCCAGGTGATGGAAGGGTACCCATTCTCTTGCTCTCTGAGCGTGTTACTTCACAGGGCAGGAAAGAAAAGACCTTTTCTAAGCTCTGTCCTCCTCTGGGGTTTGATATTGGAGAATCACAGCGTTTTAAAACTCACACAACGTTCAGGATATTCAGGAGGAACGAGTTACATCCTGTTGAGCAAAATTTGCTAAAACTTTCAGTCCATTACATACAATTGTGGAGCTGGAAGAGGTTGAAACCTCAGGATTCTATTTTAGTGGGGAAATGTATGCAAAAAGCACACGGGAAAGAATAATGGAGTGAGGCATGTGACTGTACTAATTTTGTTATACTGCAGAGTATGTGTATAAAGCCTCTACTGCTTGGGCAGGTTCAGCTGCAACCCTGCAATTAGGGAGCTAGATTAGGGGCTAGGCTCTGTTCGCTACGTGCAGAGTATCTAACAAGGAAATGCTGGAGGAAATCATTTCTTAAAGTATCTTAAGATCTTTGGGTGAAAAACAGTGCATCAGCACTGGGTGTGAGTGCTTCCCCCTGCTAAATTTTGCTGTTCCTATTAGGGAGGTAACTGATCTACTGCTTTAACAAATCTCTACATGGGCAGCTAACGAAAAACCAACAATAACAACAAAACCCCATCTGCTGTGTGTGCCAGCAGTGTTTGCTGCTTGGAGGGTGTTTTAATGGCCTAGTGAGTTAAAGCGAAGGAGGGAGCGGAGAGGCCAAAGTATAGTAATGTTCTCCACTCAGTCTGGATGAGCAATGGGACCATATGGACTCTAATTCCATTGCAGAGCGTGGCTGCTTTCCATCTCCTGCTGTTCCTTGCATTCAGAGAGGAAAATCTATCAGTTTTAGCTGCTTTTCAACTCTTCATTACCCCCATTGCTCTTACAGGCTTAATTGGTGACATCTTCTTGAATAAAACCCCCCTGAGGAACTTCAAGATTTACAGTCTGGAGATGAAACCTGACTTCTTGAAAAGGTTTGTGGGATTTAAAAATTGTTCTTGCTCATTTGAAACCAACTGTTTAGCAGCAGTGCAGAATCTGGGAGGCAGCAGTTACATGTATAACAGAAAGGCAACGCCATGTAAAAGTAGGTGAGTAAATTTGTGCCTTGCTAAGTTCCTTGCTGATACCTTTCCCCAAAACATTTCAGACCACAGTGCTGTTTTCTCCACACAGTTTAAGGCAACAGATACCCCATAGGCTCTGACTAATGTTCCAAACAGAATATTTTGAGTTTTGTTAATGTCAGAAAATAACACATGTGTGTCCCCCAAGATAGCACAGCTCCTGCAAACGTGCGTAGGAAGGAGGGAGAGGTGATGTGAAACCAAACAGGCTTTTAAAAGAGGAGAAAAGAAAAATCAACGTTTTGAAATTTTTAAGGACAGTCTTAACAGGTGCTGTTAAAGGGGTCTTTCTGAGGGGTAATGTGCAAAACCCGTGACTGCAGGGTTGCTTTAGGATGTTTTCATTGGGGGACATCACAGCAAGTGAGCTGCCATGCCCAGACAACAGGCAGCTTTGCTCACACTGCAGCCATTCACTGGGAGTTGCCCAGTGGCAGCAGAGCACAATCAGCTTGCAGTGAGTGGGTAGGGAGATGTGGCATTGTGAAAGGAATTGTCATAGGCTTTCACTTGAATCATTCAGTACTGGTCGCGCTGCACTGGATCAATAAATTCCCTGAATCCAAGAGATATAGTTTGTAAAGGCTGGAAGGAGCATGTTCTGGCAGAAGTTTAAGGCTTCTGTGGGACTTTGTGCTCTGTATTGGTTGTTCTGTTTGTCCCCTGCTTCCAGAGGGCATCAGAGATGGTGAAACTCCATATTTCCTTTTCTTGCACCAAGGACTTGCATTTCAGTGGCATGGCAAGCATAGGAGAATGAAGACCAAGACATGTTCCACCTGTTCCTTTCAGCTAGGTGCTTGCTAAACAACATCACCATTTTGCAGTGTGAAAGATATTGCCTTCAGGCACTACCAGCTGGAAGCAACTCCTTCCATCAGGCATGGAAGGAAACTGCAGCCTCGTTGTATATAACAAATCCCATCCACTGCTGTAAGCAGGGCTCTGAAATGCTGTTGGAACTCAGTGCTGCCCAGCTGTTAGCTGTGCTTGGCCATTCTCTTACAGCTTGCAGCACACAACTGGATGGAGCGCAGTCCCAGATTACTTTGTTGGTCCAGCTTTTTTTCGTGGAAAGCTACGGATAGAGCATCAACCACAGGACACTTTCCTGAAGCTACAGGCAAGTCTTTGTCTTTCCCCGCTGTTTCTGATTCGTGAGGGTTTGCAAAAGCTGGTTAAAGAGAGCTCACAGCTCTGAGCCAGTCAAGGCCACTGCCTTGTAGTCTTTCTCTGAGCTTTGAGAAAACAAATTATTTTGATGGTGTAAAAAAATCTTCTAAAGCTGGCAGGTAATTCTGTTCAGTCTGCAGTGGCCTTAATGAGAAAACATGCAGTGCTGACGGTGCAGAGCTGCTAATGAATGGTTAGTCTTGATCACTGATAGGCGAGGGCTGTTTGTTTTCTACTTGCAGAAGAGTGATGGGCACAAAACATAAAGGAGGTGCAAATTTTATCCCCACCTCCTTGTGGTATGGGAAGAATTGCTTCTTTATAGACATGGCACAGGAAGGCAAGCAGAAAACCTGCAGAAAGTGGCTGGAAAGAGTGCAAGTGTGAAAAAGTGCGTTTCCTGTGGGGATGTTAAATACAGCTGCTTCACTAATTCTGTGTGCTGATTCTAGGGCTGGGAAAAAGGAGTTGTGTTTGCCAATGGTCACAACCTTGGCCGCTACTGGAAAATTGGACCTCAGGAAACACTGTACCTTCCTGGCCCTTGGTTGTGGAAAGGGAGCAATGAGGTGAGAGGCTCTGATGTCTTGTGTGTGTGTGTGTTGTTAAAGATCCTGCTCTGGGTCATGTCCCAAAGAACTACACAAATACAGTACGTTAATTAGTTAGCTGCAGCTGAAAATGAGGGCAGTAGTGAAGGAAGGAGACTTAGCTCTTCAGATCTGTGAAAATGAGGGGAGGTGCTGCTCTAAAGCTGAGAATGTGGCTCTGACAGCCATTAAGACATGACAGGGATCTCAGCTAAACTTCAAAGTGCATCAAGTTCAAAATCAAGACAAAGCCGATTTGATGCTCATTCATTTTCTGCATTGTGCAGTGCTGAAGAATCAGAGTTACTGTTCCGAATCGTATTGATTGATCTCTTCTAAATGATGCTTCCTTTCTCTGCAGTGATTGTATGCCCTTTACCCTTAGAAGTTGTTAAGTAACTTAGCCTTTGTGTGAAGAGCTTTCCATGTCTCTCTCTTCTGCAGATCATCATTTTTGAGGAACGCACTGCAGGACGGATCATACAGTCTGTCGACATACCTTACTTGGGAAGGACCCAGTATGTGGACTGATGGGAGCATCTTTCCCATGTTTGGTTCATCTTGAGCACTCTTGGTTGCATGTCTGGGGACATGATGGCCCATGCACTTGGGCCTCTTAATTTCCACTAGACCCAGGTCAAGGATTTGCTCTTTGGCAGTAAGCTCAGAAGAGAGAACGGGCCCCAAAGGAACTGGAATCAGTTGTTTCATTGATTGGATGCAGAAGCTCATCTGTGTGCACTGCTGAGGAGCTGTGGCTTGGATGGCTGTGCATGATGTTATGGACAGCAGTGAATGTGAGGGAGTAACACGGTGCTGGAGGCAGGAGAGAGAGTGAACTGAACTCTGAGTCCAGCTCTCCACTGACTTTAAAATCGTGTTATGACTGACCTCTTCATTTTTATAATTAAGGAGAAAATAGTTGGTGAACATAAGTAACCAGGTGTGGAGACCCATGGTGTTGTACTTCCAGGTGGAATTTATCAATGCAGTCTGCAGAGGGGCTGCCACTGGTTCACTTGTTGGAAGCCACGTTGGTTGTCAAATGAGTTAACTGTGAGCTTTGTTCCACTGTGTTTTAATATGGAGGTTGTCTCTCTCTCAGAAAGGAGGAAAAAAAAAAGTTTTAAAAATTCACATGTGGGTTTTTTTTTGTTTTTTTCCTGTATCAAAACTACCATTCTGTTTCAGGTCAGGAACAAGCGAGAGCTTTCAGTCACAGAGAAGAGAGCTCCTTGCACCTGGAGATGAAATTCCCCCTTATAAAGGAGCAGCAATCAGGTTTTGGTTGTGATAGAAGCCAAGGAGTTGCATAAATACTTGCAAACGGGAGAACAGATTAGGTCTCTGAGAAGCACTGACCGTATGCACTGCCTCTCAGAATGGAGTTGCAGGGCATTCTAGCTCTTAAAAACCATACTTAATTTTATTTAACAAATTTAAATACAGTTTATTTAAAACTGAGAACAGACAGTGCGGCTGTAATACACTCCACCCTGACCAGAGCTGGTCTCACTGAGCGTGCACATCTCTGCTCCCCAGACACACAGTGCAGCTATGCAAGTTGGAAGGGCCCAACAACTTTGAGGAGTGTAAAAGTAGGGCTGTGGTCAGGACTTGGGCCTTTGTGTTTTTCTGGAAGTTATTTCCTTCCATGGAGGGAAGGCTGCAGCTCAGCAGGGGCTGGAGCTGACATTAGTGAATGAAAACATGCAGCTAGGAGAGGCCATCAGTTGGGAACTAGCTTAGCAGCAGAATTTGTATGCCTTTAGCAATGTCTCCTTCCCCTCTAGGGTGTGCAGACTGAACTGAGGTTGGGATGCTCATACAAGAACAGAATCAGTCTGCTCAAATGCACAGAGCTCCCATTTTAGCATAAGGTAACAGTGCCTGTTCCCATAGAGTGGCCAGTGGAACTGGATGCTTTCTATCCCAGTAGCACTTCAGCCAACGCATCTAAAAGAATGTTATTCTAAAGGCTGTGTAGCAAGGCTTTGTGACTGAGAGCTGAGCAATGCAGCTTTCCCCCACTGATTCTGAAGGACAGTGGGAGAAAATAACTTGAAAAACAAACCCAAATGTTTCTTTAAATATTAGGGAATGCACAGCCATCAGTCCAAGGGGAGAATTCTGCACTTTGAAGCTAACAATCCCACCTGTAGTACTGAAGTAATTCTATGCGTTAGGGCTAAAAAGAACCAAATCTGGGATTACACTTTCCCTTGACTCAAAGATAAGATTGTGCTTCAGACCCTTCTGAAAGAATTGGGGCAGTGGGCATTGATCAGATGTTTGACGGCTGTGAGGGGAGGGTGCTAAGATCTGTGTATTTATTTAGGGGTTTTTGTGTGTTTGCTGGCTGGAGGTTCAGAGAAGGGCTATAAGCTGTACCTTAATTTCTTCCTCAGCAAGTTTGTTGTTTTCAAATAGTCAGCCAAAGTAGCAGCACCCAGGTTCCTCCTCTGCATTGCTCAGCCACCTCCCTCTTGCTGAGGAGCAAGATACAGTTTCATTAGAGAATATCCTTTAATCAATGCCATCTCCTGTCCTTTGAAGTTACAGAGCAGGGAAGAGGCAACTAATATTCTGCATAGTTTTTCAACCTACCTGGAGCCAGAGGAGGAAGGAACAGAGCACGCTAAGCACAGGATCCCTTTACAAGGGTGCAGCTCTGTTCCCATTAGTTAACTCCTGATTGGCTCCAGTGTGGCTCTGCACACCAGTCCAGCCCTGAAAGAGGAGCTAGGACTGAAGGATACACTCCACTCAGATGGTACATGTACTAAAAATCAATTTTTCTTGTTCAATCCCTATTTTTAAGCAGTTCACTTTATTTTTTAAGAGTAGAAATTTGGCTTTATGTAAAAGCACCCTTCTGAGAATCCCACACCTAACACTCACATTAACCAAATGTGAGCTAAATAGAACTAAGATCTGAGCCCAGGTGAAGTATTACGGTGCACGGCCACAACCATCTCTTTAAAAACCCCTCACAGCTCTTTTAGCATCAAGAGCTGCATGTTGTGCACGTAACTCCATGTATGAGCACAGAGCACCCTCCAACCCACGAAGCCAAATAAGGGAAGGAGAAGGGGATACAAGAAACAGATGTACAGATGGGTTTGTTCTAACCTGCCTTGCTTTTCACTCTCCCCCCAAGCCTTCCTGTCTTGTGCAGCATAATAAACACTGATTAAAGTAGGTTTCGAATTAAGGGCTGAGATGCCATCTCGGAAGGCAGCTGTCCCCTCTGTCAGCAGGGAGCTGCTCTGGCTGTTGGGCACATAGCCACAGGGTGCATGTCTGGGAAGGACAAGTCATCGGGGCCAGCACACTCGTGTGCATTCTCACCCTTGCTCTCACGTCCTGTATAACAGCCCGCTCAGTCTGGGCTGCCCTTCCAGCCGGGCTGCATCTTCAGTGCATCGTGCACTTCTCCCAAACCGAGTGTCTCGCAGGGCAGCTGCTCCTGTAGGGAAGTTCAGTCCTGTATTTCTGTGCTTTTTCTCCACCCCCAGAGCATCAGGTTCTGCTCAGAGTCCAGGAGGAAGGGCGGGGGGATCCGGGTAGTTTATGTATGCAGTGTTGCTTGCTTTCAGTACACTAAAACTCTTGGAAGTCAGCAGAGGTCCTGGCTACTGCATGTCTGGCTGTATGCTGTGGGGAGAAACCTTGGAGGCTGTGCGTGAGGAAATCTTCTGCAACAGAGACACAACCAGCATGTTTATTACCCCTCTGCCTCACTGCAGTGAGCTGCCACCCCTTGGAGCTAACCCAAAACCCATCTCAGATTGCAGAGCTGTGACTACTGCTGCTAGGCAACTGGGTGTTGGTGGAAAGCAGTTGTGACAGCACTGAAGAGCTATGGCCTCTCTGCAAAGCTGCTATATATAGCACAGACAGTGTGCAGTGCAGGCTTTCCTTTGCTGTCCTGCCAATGGGCCACAGCGCAGGCCCTGCAGCAGGCAGGGCTCCATCACTGCAGCCCGAGGGAATGTGCTGTAAGAACTCATTATGTTAAAAATACACTGCTGCTGAGCAGATCCACCCCTCTCCCCTACCCCTTGCTGCTCTGACTTCTCTGTGTCTGAGAGGAAAAGAGAACAAGCAGCAATTTTCTCTCCCCTCCAGGCCTGGTTCTGCACTCTGGCTGAAGGGAGTTGTGCATATATTTTTTCCCCCCCATAATAATGAAGAGCAGCAGTCTGGATGCAGGTATGAGGAAATATTTCATCCTTTACTCTAGCAAACCAACTGCAGGGTGCACTCTGCAGATACAGAAGATTTAATGCACTAGAATGCTCAGGTAATTAAAGGTGAGAAGCCAGGGCATGAACAAACAACGGAGAAGTCAGCCTCCAGCATGCATGTCTGCTCTTTCCTCTTCTCTGTTTCTCCTACAGCAGTGGTATCCAAAGACACTATATGCTGACCTTAGGTAAATAGATACCCAATGCCCCATCTGGGGTTTAACCTACACCCTCCCTTATTGTCACTGACTGTGTGTGGTTTGTGTATCCTGTCATTGTTTGGCATTTTCCTCTTTTGCTGCTTCTCCTTACAGTTCCAGAACATGAGCTCTCACCTGGTGTTGGTCTCCACTCAGCTGAACACGCTCAGATTTCCACGTTGGGATCTGTGAATCCTTTCTTCCCCTCATTCACCAGCACAGGCTTTTCTGTCCTCGTGTGCCAGACTAAAATCTGAAGAAACCAGAAGTCATTAGCTGCATCCCTTCACTGCACTAACAAACATTCTTGCACATTAAATCAATAGTGCAATTTAACCATCTACCCTGGGGTCTAATGGTGCATTCACAGCTGCAAGAAGCTTTGCATAAAACTTCATTTAGGTAGGCCTGCTGCTACCCAGAATGCACAGTGCACAGAAATTACCTATCTTATAGTATACTGTCTTGGGACATTAACCTGCTCCTTCCATGTGGTTATCAACAATCTTCCTCCAAAGGCTCATCAACCTTGCCAATGATGTAAGGCTGTTCCCTCATCACCAGAGGATCAGATGCACGAATCCCACAGTCAGGATCCTGACTCCGGTTCTTGCTTATAGTGTTAGCCCACCCTTGGGCAGTGTGGAGCTGCTTGCTGGGTGCAAAATGGAAAGGCAATCTCTTGCCACGTTGGCTCACTTTGTGACTGCTTGCTAACCTCACTACACCACTTCTTTTTAAATTCTTTCATGACCCTGAAGAGATGATGAAGTGCCACTGATGAGAGAAGTCCTTACTGCTGTTCTGGTTGTCTGTTGCCACCTCTGCTCTCAGAGGTACCAGAGCCACGAGCTTGGTACAGAATACCCCATCATTCCCACATGCTCTGGGCTCCCCGTGCACATTTCCTCCAAAACACCAGCCCCACTCCTGGTATTATAGCTCCTGCTATTCCAGACCAGGTACAATGCATTGCATCGCTTTCAGGGCCCCTCTCCAACCTGCTGAAACCAGCACTGAAGCACAGCAGGACCGTAATTTCTACTAAAATCTGAGCAGTAAAGCTCAACGTAAATCAATGCCTGCAAAAAAGAACTAGAAAAAAATATAAATGGAAGAGGTTGCCTGACATCTGTGGTGAGGGAGGTATTATAGGTCAATAGTTCCTCTCAGCCATGCCATGCTCCAAGCTCTGGAAACGCTCTCCCCTCACCAGACTCAGTTCTGCTCATTGCTCAGCACTACAAGCTGTACTGCTGGCAGCAGTTTTGTCCCTTCAGAGCTGTGGCTTCCTGCTCCCTCTCACCTGCTCAGTGATGGTTCCTCCTCACTGGGGTCTCCCTGTTGTTGCTATGACAATGCTCACTGCATTCAAATCCAAATATCTGCAAACAGTCTTGTACCTGCTTCCTGCTTTTCTGAAAAACGAGGCCACGCTCTGCTTCTAAAGGGTGAACAAAGCACTCCTCAAGCCCTTGTAGTTAAACAGGAGCCTCCCCCACCTTCCCAAGAAGCCACTGCTATTACACTGCTGCAATTACTGCCTCACTTCCTAATGAAAAGCAAAAGCAAACAGGTCTCACCAAGCAGCTCTCCAGGCAACGTCAGCATCAGCTACGAGCTCCTCGTCCAACAAACAGAATAGCCAAGCCTTAATGCAGTGCAGGTGCTGGAAACCAAGCTGGTGGGCAGTTCTGCTTTCCAGCAGGAGCAGGGAAAAGCTGCTCCCATACAAACACCGCCATCAACGGGGCTCGGGCTCACACAGCTCCAGGCACCAAGGCACAAATACAGATTAATAGCTTTTCTTTTCAATTGCATCCCGCTTTGACATTGTTAAATCCAAGTGCCAAAAAGGCAGTTATGTGGAATTAACTGACCACAACCGACTGATTCTCAGAGTTTGCGGCTCAATGCAGCAGCTTCTACCATTTCTCACACTGTGCTCTTTAATATGGGAGGGAGAGCACCATTTTACACAGCAACACCTGTGTTTGCTCTCAGCTTGATGCTTTCCACAAGCAGCGTTGGTTTGATGTCTCAGAGCATCTTTGGTTTGTGCAAACGTGCATTTTGCATAGGAGAAAAGGAGGGGTCTGAGTGCCTGACCTCCCCTAAGCAGTGGTTCCTGCAGGTCACCTGCATTCCCTTTAGAAAGCCTCACTACTGCAACACACATCGGTCATTGACAGCCTTGTCATCCAGAATCACGAGGCTTGGAACAGGTCTAAGATTATAAGGTTTCGTTGCCATTGCAAGCTTTTTCATTGCCTTCCAACAGGAAATTAAGCAGGCAAGTCAGCCTGTAGTAGGAGGGGGTCACGGGATTTCCAGTACCAAAGCCCTCCATAGAAGGCAGCAATACCTGCTACTTGAAACAGTGATTGCCAGCTTTGCAGTTCTACCACCTTGAAGGCGATAGGTGTTACAGGCAGAGCTCAAGATCACAGAAAAGGGTTTTGGTGGTCCAGTCTGAGCTATTACATGATCCGAAGGTCCTGGAGCAGGCAGAGTACTGCAAAACCCAAACCGCTCAGATGGAAATGACAGCTTTCAGCTGTGCTACAGGGAGATGGCATTGGCACAGCAGTTCTGGAGACTCATCAGGGCTCAACGAGGCAAAAAGAGCCCTCCAGGTTCTGCACGTCCCCTAAAAAATCACTAGCTCAGGCACTGCATGTGAAGCTTCACCAACAAAGTGCTGTCACACAGCAGCCAGGGTACTGACTGCTCACTGCAAACCACACCAACCCAGCAGCCCAATTTCAGGAGCAATCTAAGCAAAAGAAAGGCAGATCTGCTCCATCCATACCCTGCTGCTCAGCCCCTGAAAGGGAAGAAACACAAAGAGCTCACGAAGCCAACTCCCTGCCTACTCTGCAGCACCACAGGGTAAGATCAGGAGGAAGCAAAGCACTCCTTTACAAGCTTTCTTGCCTTAGGCTGAATTTTTTCCTCCCTCCTGTCCATTAGCAGTCAGCTTCAGCTGTTTTACAGCTGTGATGTCACGAAGCAGCCAGCTCTGCTCCCTTTTGCTGCGTAATTCCTTGGCTGCTGCAGGGCCAGGCTTGCTCTCCTCTGATACAAAAGGATTTATCTCCCTCTCAGGGCTGCTTCCCAGACCCAAAGGATTGGTTCGGGGTTCAGGCACTGCATGGACACTCTCTGCTGCCTGTTCTCAGCGCGTGCGTGTGCGTGTGTGTGTGTGTGTGACAGCAGTGCCATTCCCATGGTGGCATTTCACACTGCCCACACACACGCTGCTGCCCAGCAATTCCTGCCCAGCACACGGCTGCCAGCCAGTTCCCTTCAGCAACATTCACCTAAATGCCAGGCTGTGAGCCCACAGCTTTAATCCCACATCACACTCAGCCAGGAGGGAAGGAGAGCGGAGGAATGGCTGCTTTTAGCTACCAAAACCCCCCAAGAGCACAAAAGCTTGCCTCACCCAGAGAACTATACGACTCTGTCCATCTGGGGAAACAAGGAGCTGCATGGGCAGCTCGAACAAGAAGGACATCATTTGCAGTGCCCTTGTATTTTGTGGTCTGTGCTCTCATGCTGTTTGAATAGCTGAGGCCGCTGACAAGGTCTCTGTCCTTTAAGGGCTCTGGTTGAGTGCTGCAGCTCATTTCCTCAGGCACTCACAGGAAACGGGGAGCAGAATATGTCCCAGTTACATCAACCTTATGGGAACACGAGATCTCTTAGACCTTGATCCTGTCAGATGTAATGTGTCAACGGATTGAAGAGAGCTTTGTGTGCTGTGGGGGAAATGTAGAAACAGCAGGACACAGAAATACAGAGCACGCTTGTAAAGCCACGTTCCCTCACAATCCCACTGCTAACCAGCCTGGGCAATTCACTTCGACTTCTTTCATTTTCTTCTTCATTTTGGGTGGATATCAAATTAAGAAGACAAATAGAATGTATATCTTCAATCAAAGCATAAGGTTTTTGCAGGAGTGAGCATCTGTGTGCTGAAGGCAGCTGAACATTACAGCACTATACGCAGTGAGGGCAGCTCTTCTGGAGAGCAGATGTCTGTGCTTATCTTACACAGTTCTCTGATCCCTCCTTAATGATGGTACCTGAGCACATCGTAATCTCTAATGTAAATCTGACTGCAGAGCTTTACAGCTGCGAGCAATGACACTTGCTAGGAGCACACTGGCCCATTGAGAGTCTGTGCTCTCATGCTGGGGACCCCAGAGCACAGCCACCTCTTGTCCTCCTCTGCTGCTTGTTCGGACTCTCCTCCTCATCAGAAGGGTGAACAAAACAGCAATTCAAAAAATGGAGGCTGCTGGCAACAGCTAACAGCAGAAAGGCAAAGCCCAACCTGCAAAGCTGCACTCAGAGTTTGCCAGGAGCAGACAGCATTCAGTTCTCAACAAGGACCCTTGTAAGATCCCTACAGCCGTGCCAGAAAAAGAAATGCAGTCTGCCTCAAATCCTGGGCAGCAATTCCTGCTTCCTCTCCAGCTCTGACCTGCAGTTCTGCGTGCAGTACTGGCACGGCAGCCTGTCTGACAGCACCATTTCTTACCTCCAGTCTTTTCCTTCCTCCCCTTCCTCTCAATGCCCCAACTCTTCTGTGCAGCCTAAAAGCAACCTGGGCATCTCCCTCGATCTGCTGAAAGCACACTAATTTCCAGCCAGCATTTGCTGTTAGCTAGCAGGGCAGTAAGGGAGGAAAGAGGCAGAAAGACCTAATTGTAGGGCAAGGCCAGAGCTTTTTGCAGGAAAAGCTTTCAGCTCTGAAGTGGATGAGGACCTGGAATAGATGGCCCAACACTGTCTATCTGCAGTAACAGCTCATTTGTAAAAAAAAAAAAAAGAAAAGTCCTTCTGGGATAATTGCACAATGGAGGTTGGGTGGCTGCCTTCTACAGACAGAGGCGTGAGCACTACGCAGGAATCTCTGATCCCAGATAAAGTCCCTCCAGTGCCTGCCACCCGCTCACAAAGCTTTCAGAGCACTTGACAGCCCCTCTGTTACTGATGTGCTCCGATTGATGCCTGTCATGCTAACCAGCATTGTCTCATTGCATCTCGCACACTCCCGTCATCCCAGATAGATATCCATCTGCTGCCTCTCATATCGGAATGGAGAGTCTTTAGGGCAAGAACCATCAGCATGCCCTATCACCAGGTCCTCACATCCCACATATGAGGAAGAGACCATACCTTAGTGCAATTGGCAGCTTTCGGCTCAAGGTCGTTCAGGGTGACCAGCTCTCGCAGCAGGCTGCTCTCCTGGTAGCCTCCCTTCACTCCTCGCAGTTTGAAGTACGCCTGAGATCGCTGGAGGATCAGTCTGAGGTTCACAGCAAACCCTGCCATGTCTATAGCAAAGGGGCGATGGGGGTCAAACACAGTTTTCCAGCCGTAGACCTTCCCTGCTGCATTCACTTTGGGGGATTCGTAGCGCAAGCCACCGACGAAGGCTACTGGCCACACCGACACCTTCCTGGTGCTGCGCATCTGGAGGCAAAGGAGAGAGAAGGGCACGGTGGGTGTGTGCTGAAAGAGGAAACACACCTCCAACAAAACATCTTCACCTTCCCAGTGTCCTGTGGGAGAGACGTGGGGCTGGGAGCCTGGGTGATGCTCCCAGGCACCGCTGTGATTTGGAGCAATGGAGCTTTGTGCATCTCTCACTTGTAAAAGGACGTGCATCCTGGTGCTGCAGGTGGTGCCTACAAACAGGAGAGGAGTCAACTCTTTGAAAGGGTTGATAACTGTAGGATGAGGGGAAATGGTTTTAAGTTGAGGGAGGGGAGATTTAGGTTGGACGTCAGGGGGAAATTCTTTACAGAGAGAGTGGTGAGGTACTGGAACAGAGAGGCTGTGGATGCCCCGTCCCTGGAGGTGTTCAAGGCCAGATTAGATGGGGCCCTGGGCAGCCTGCTCTAGCATTAGGCAGGAAGGTTGGTGGCCCTGCACATGGCAGGGCGTTGGAGATTCATGATCCTTGAGGTCCCTTCCAACCCTGGCAATTCTGTGATTCTGTGGTGTTTTGGGAAGGGGCTCACAGCCATGGGACCAAGTGTGAGCTCAGCACTAGGAACAAAGCTGCAAGCAACTGAGGTTTAAGTGATTTTTTTTTTTTTTTTTTTTTTTTTTTGGTCAAAAGGCCTTCAGAGCTGTGGGACATCAGCTCTGGTAGGGATGGTAGTGGAAGTCAGGAAAGCCAGGGGGAAAGCATGTTGTCCAAGGAATCTGGGAATAACGTATCTTGGAAGAAAGCTGTCTTCCCTGAAAGCTGCAGTCTCAAGCTATGAGACACAGGAAAGCTAAAAGCATGGTTAGGGGGAGCTCACAACAGCAGGGTTGGGAGGAGCACACAGGACAGGGCATTGCAGCTGGCCCTGCTACCCAGAAGGACATTAGATGCCTCTGCTCCCAACGGGGTCCCTAGAAATAGATAGGAGCTGTCAGGGGACACTCCAGTGTGTGTGCCTGCCAGTACAGATGATCAGAACACCCATCTGACTGCACTCCCAGTGGCCGGTCCTGCTCTCTGGCAGCCTCAGCCTCACTCTCTGCTCTCAGCCCAGGCTCTTAGATCAGGGATCTCCCAGAGCTAATCTCATCACTGCTAATTACTGCAAACGAGACCAGAAGAGCTCTGGCACTTGCCCTTCTGCATTATACACATGCTAACGACAGTGCCTGTCCACGGGGAACAATAATGCGTGTCTTCTGCATTTCACAGCACGTTCTGTTGGCTCCATGTGACCTTAACTGCAGCTCTGTATCAGAGAGGAGAAGGCTCTCTCAGCAAAGCACACGGGTGAATGAAGGAACCCTTTCTGCTTTATTAATGCAGAGTCTCTCTGAAGATGCTGCCAGCACCAGCCTCAAAGGAGGAAAGTGGAAGAAAGACATTCAGCTTGAGTTTGCTTTCAGCTTTAAAAGTGCGTATATTCTGTGGCTATCCAAGCTGAAGTGAGAGCCATCAGGGAAGAGAAAGGGGCACGTATGGAGTGAATAAACAGGAGATCCCTGGTGTAGGAACTGGCAGCCTCTGGAGAAGGAGGGAATCCTACTTTCTTGTCCCATGTTGCAGGATCTCAGCCTCAGAGAGTATGGGAAGCTCTTTCCTGAGAGGTGAGGTACACATCTCCCTCCAAAGCCCTCTCCAGGCAACGTAAAGGGCTCTACGTTTCCCGGATATGAAGCAGGTGCTGTTAAACACATGCTCCTCATGAGCATGGCAATCTCTGAACCAGACGCCCTGTGAGTGCTGTGCTGGCACCACTCTGCAATGGCAGAGTTCTCTGCTGTGCAAAACAGGCGTTGGGTTCTTGACAGCTACAGAGTTTAACCACTGAACATGCTGGGATGAGAGCAAACAAACGCAAACAGCAAGCAAAGAGCAGATACCCCAGGGGCTCCTCAAACAAGAAGAAACAGGGATGAACAGACGGCCAAGTACAGTACATAGGGATGGCAGAAAAGGCAACAGATAACAGCAGATGAGCCTGGAACCTCCTCCAGGGTGGGATTTGGGGGTTCCCTTGCTGGGCACATGTGCCTGCCCAGGCACAAAGGACAGCAGATGATGTTCCAACCCTAACAGGGCTCTCCACAGCATAAGCAGCTCTTCATCAGCTCTCTTGATAATAAAATAAAACTACCTACATGTTCTTCTTGCTTGGATCCTACCAGCTAGCTCCTGCTTTGTGATGACCACTCCTCCTCCTCATGGAAGTGTTTAGCTTGGGTTTATGGTACCAAGAGAAAAGCTTTATTCCTGCTCTCTGAGGGAAGCAGCGCAGCTAAAAGCCCCAACTGCAGAAGCTGGGGCCAACAAGATCCCTTCCAATGCTGCCAACGACTCCAGTGACTGGAGCATGGATGTGTGCCTCCTGACATGCTCCACAGGCTATGCTTTTGACACCGGCACAAACATTGCAGTCATGTCACCAAGCCCCAGAGAAATCACAGAATCATAGAAACACAGATTGACTTAGGTTGGATGGGACCTTAAAGATCCCCTGCCCAGAAATATTCAGGACAGCTGCAGTGGGACCACTGCACACAGGACTGATCCAGAGCACAGGAGAGGATGTATACAGCACCTCCCCAGCACAGCACACAGCAGCCCACATGCTGTGCTCAGCTGGCTGGGGCTCCTCCAGCAGGGTCTTACCTCCTCAAAGAGCTCCAGGCTGTAGGTGTTGTCATCATCAGCAAAGTAAACAATCCCAGGCTGGCTGTTGTTTTTGTTAAAGGTCTCTCTCAGCCACCTCAGGGCAAGGTTCCTCTGCATGGTCCCCCGAGGGATGCGGGGATCCCTCATGTCTCCCCGCAGCTTGTAGTTGCGAGGGGTCTCCACGTTGAGATGGGTGTAGTTGAGCCCCGTGTCCCGCAGCAGCCGGGTGATGAGGGGTGTGCGCCGCTGGGAGTCCTCCACCAGGATCCAGTGCAGGTTTGGCACATGCAGGAGGGTGTTGGCCAGGCGCGTCAGCTCTGCTTTCTGCACAGGCCGGCTGTAGGTGGGTGTAATGACGTGGATAGTGGGAAGGGTGTCTGACCACGGGGGTGGGCGAGTATAAACATATTCTGTCCTCACCACCTCCACAATGTCCCGGTCCGACAAGCAGTATTCCTTGGAGTCCAAGCCTGCAGCGAGATCACGCCGGGAGTCACCACCATCATCTGAGCAAGGGTATGAGAGAAGAAAAACCGCATGGACTCGGTCCTCCGACACCCCCCGTCCCCCCAGATGAGCCAGCAGACTGTGTGCTGATAGCAGGAGGTCACCCTCACAGCCTGAGAGGAAAGGAAACGAGCTCAAACGGAGGCTTGAATAAATAAGTACACAAATTAATAAAGGAATCAGGGACAAACACCCATGAGAAACAAAGTTCCTGCTGTTAGAAAAGCTGCATCCATCAGAGCCTGAGAGCCCAGGACAGCAGAGCAGCTGAGTGCCCAGAGGAGACAGACTTGTAGAGCAATTAGATCTAGATAATGAAATTAGCAACAGGGACTGATGATCTGTTGTTCCTAAAGAGCTTCAGTGCTCTTGGCACCACGCTCAGCAGGGCAGGACTCATTGCACTGAAGCACTGGGACTGGGAAGTGGGGAATCAAACTGGGCTGGAGCTGTGGAACACGTGGAGACCCTGTATCACCTGAAGCTCCCAGCAGCACTGCTGGCCAGGACACTGCATACCCTGCTGCTTCCTGACAGGCCTGGGATGTGGCACAGGGAAGCAAGAGCAAGGCACTCTTCTAGAAACAGAGAGTAGAAATAAAGCCCCTAATTGTAGGCTTTCTAAAGCCCTACCAGTTTCTGAACATAACAGCCCATTTGGTATTGTGGATCTGAACAATAAAGCAGCTCTGTACCAGCAAACAGAGTATCTATGGCATAAACCAACCCAAACTACTAGAATTCTTGCAAAGCAAAACTTGGCCACAGTCAGCTCAAGGTAAAAAAAAAATACATATATTCATGCATTTGTCACTTTTCCAGCCTGCAACTTTCACACGTTCACACTACTGTAGAGCAGCAGGAACACCAGCATCCACAGTTAGGAACTGAGAGAGATAAAGGGGCACTGCCACTCTGAGGTACGCCAGCTGCTCTCTAGTGGGCACCTGATTCTTAGAGCCCCAGATTTTGCAAAGCCAGCCGCTGCTAGGGACTTCAGATGAGAAAGAACAGGAACAGACAGCCATCAGATCTGACCCAGCAGGGTACTATCTGTGTGTTTTTCATAGCATGTTACACGTACAGCAGCACAGCCTTTGATACAGCCCTAAACTGAATGAGGGATTTGTACTCGGTGGTTTTGAAGGAGGGAGGGTGTGTGTTTGTGGGGTGGGAGGGACAGGACCAAAGTGTCCTGCACATGTGGGGATCAGGCTCTACATAGGGTGAAGCACATCTGCATTGCATAACAGAGCTCTCTGACAGCACAGAGCACCAGAATCAACCTAAAAATGAAACTGCAAAATGCATTGGACACGGGCACAAGGTAATTAGCCAGGATGGAGCCTGAAGGAGACATGAGATAGTTTGCAAACCCTCTCAGATCAAATCCTCAGCTGTAAATCCTGACACATTTATCCACTGTCACTGTGTTCCCACTAGCATATAGATGAACATCTCATTTTCAGCACCTGCTACCAAAGGATCTCAGAAATGCATTACAAGCACATAACAATTTCTCCCAAGAGCTTCAGGTCGGTCTCTTTCACCACTCATTTTCCACTGAGCGCTCATAGAAGCACTCTCAGAGGAAGCATCTTACCAAGGGCACCAGCAAGTTCAGGACCAGGTCACAGCAGGGCTGTCTCTTGGCCGTAGACATTGAAGTCACAGCAATTCACCAACAACCTGGTCCTAGTTTTTAGTAGCACCGATTCAAATCACTATACAGACAGGATATTTTTCTAAACCCCATAGAGATCCCAGATCCTGTGAAATACTGTTCACCTTTTGGAGAAGATCAATCTCCTTTCTCTTAAGAGCTGTCCTAAGCCTTGTGGAAGTCTGAGTCCTCCAGGAAAAGGTAAAACTTCTTAGGATGGACTCTGAGCTTCTGACAATTCCAATGGCACACCAGACTGCTCAGCAAAAGAATAAGAAACTGCTGAGGATGGGAGTGAACATTAAAATGAAAAGGGTAGAAAGTCTCCCCAAGCAAGGTCCTAGAGACAGAAAATGAGCTGGCCTTCTTCCCCAGAAGGATGCCCAGAGAAAGGAACAGCCAAGAAGAAAGACTCCTTCCTTAAAAAAAAAAAAAAGAGATAATTGGGAAATTAAAAAAAAAAGAAGTACTTTCCTTCTGTGCTCTGTTCCACTGAATCTGGATATAGGTGGGGAAGAGCTCTCCAAGAGTAGGGAGCACATCCTGTGGCTTGGAGGTTGATGTCTCCAAAGACACCTGGAAAGCACAGGGCTGCTTCCTGCAGCAGAAGTGGGGAAGCTTCTGCATGAGCATGGACCGGGAGCTGAGATGGGAATGGCTGCCATGGAGAAATGAAATGAGAGAGATGAGGACAAGGGAGTGATGCATAGACTTGGCATGGGCTGGTTTGATTTCTCTCACCCTTGTGCACTGCAAGCAGTGGAGCAATGGTGCTCTGGTGCCAGACGGTGATTAGTAGTGTCCAGGGCAGAACTATCAGCACGATAGCCAGGATGTCTCGTCTCTTCGGCATCTCCAAGACTGACTGGACCCACAGCTCCTCATTACCTAACAGTGAAAACCCCAGAGACAGAACAGCAGAGCAAATGGAGAACAGAAATAAATGGGCAGGAAGGAATAAGGACAGAGAAAGAGAACGCGAGAGAGGGAGAGAGCAGCAAAGGCGACACGACTCGTAGGTCTTACCAGTGCTTACAACCCACCCATTGCAGAAGCAGGTTTGGAGGGGCCTCAGCTGCTGAGACCAGGAGAGTGCTTCTATGGGATGCTGTAGGGCCCTCCAGCAGGAACCTCAGGCACCCACCTGGCAGGAAACCTGCAACACAAAGCAAAGATATCAGGCAGAGAAAAGGACCAGGGAACTGCTCCAGAAAGCTCACCAATCCTCCCTGAGAAAAGCAAACTAAACCAGGACAGTGAGCAACGGAAATGTGTTCAGCCCCTCCAGGAGAGATGGATGCCTCCTGGGTGCTCAGGGCCCTGTTTTCCTTTCTATCTACTCACTGAGCAAGGCCACCGCATCAGCAGAGCAGCAGTTGCTCAATACCAGTTCTGATCCATGCCCAGAAGGGCCCTTCACCTCCAAGCCAGTTGTCTCACAGCTCACTAAGCACAGGCCCTGGGAGGAAGCAGAAGCCACATCAGCTGCACCACTTGCCTGATGCAGCAGCAAGTGCCCTGACCAGCAGCCCTAACCCTCCATGGGACAACTGGAGGGAAGGCTGTGCTTGTGCTCATAGGGATATGGTTGCAGCAAAGCCAGCAGCCCCACATGCTGCCCGTCTCTGTAATCCCTCAGCTCTGACCATCCCACTGGCACCTCTGATGCAGCCAGTTCTAACTCAGGCTTCCAATGGCCTGTTCAGGTTCATTTCTTCCATCTTGGAGGTGTTGCAAGTGGAGTATATTAAACTGCCACAATAGCTTAGTTTGACTCAATACAAGCACATACAAGATTTAAGCAGACTGTATTTTATCCCAGTATCTTGGCAAGAGAAGTACATCACTTAGCAGGGATACACATGGCGGACAGTTTGCAAACATGGGTAGCAGTTTAGTACCACTGTTCCCTGGTGGGGGAATACATTAGCCTGCTGCTTCCAGGGCTGCACTGCAGATACAGGAGAGCTCAAAGATTACTGCAGACAAAGGCTGGAGGTCTCTATGCTGGGCAAAAGCTCTAATCTCTCACCCTCACAGCCACGAGCTGCCTGGTTTTTCTCTCTCTTTCCCTGCAGTGCCCTAGAAACCATCAGATTCCCTCCTTAAATCACAGGGGAGCTCCTCAAGCCCAGGTTATGGATGTGATGCATACAGATGCTGCTTTGCGGATGTTTTTCCTGACAGCTTTGGAGCTTGCTTTTTCTCAGTTGCACTGGGCAGTCATGGAGAGATCCAGGCTCAAATCTATGATTTAGATTGACTGATTCAGATTGATCTGAATCTCCCTTGTCTGAGTCTTGACCATTGGGCTGCACAGTGAGTCTCTGGCACCAAGCCCAAGGGAAGACTTGAAGTGAAATGGCTCCAGGAATGGATGGGCTGTCCCTTTAAAGTACAAGCAAGTGGTATCCAAGTCCCTGGATGGATTCTGACTCTTCCAGATAAGCACTTTAATCACAGAGGTATTCGCTTGCCAGGGAGAACAAGGGGTAGGGAAAACACAGATAGGCCTCTGTCCTTCAAGTGCACATGCAAATCCTCAACAAATGTTTTGGGGACTCCTCTATGTTAACCTATACAAAACCTACACACACAACTGAAAATTCCCAGCCAGTTCCAGGAGGGCTCTCTCTGGGGACAGGTCTATACACACACCAAAACCTGTGCCAGGAAACAACAACAAAACTCCAAACCAGCCACCAAACACATCCCTTCTATTGAGAATGGGGCTTCCTGCAGCCTGGTTCGTGGAACTAGTGGCAAGAAGCCTTTCTGAGCCCCGAGATAAATGCTGTGTAGCTGGGCAGCCTGCAGGCTTTCCAGGAAGCATCTCCTGGCAACGCGGGTTTGTCCTTAATTTTTTCAGAACTGGAGAAATCAGCCTTATCCAGACAAAATAAGGCAGGAAGAAAGAGGAGGAACTGTTCCAGCAAACATCAGCCTTCTGCTCCATCCCTTTCCAGCAACTAAAGCAAGAGAGACCCCGCCTGCCTCACACTGCTAAGGCACATGGTGCCCTCAGGAAAGAGCATCTGGCCTCATCCTGCCATTCTGATGGTGCCCAAACAGAAGGCACCGAGCAATAGTATCCTCCGATTTCCCTGCTAAAGCCAGAAATGCCTTTTGAGCACACTGGTAGGGCACAGAAGGGTGGCTCTGAAATGCCCCAACACCTTGCAGCACCTCTCTGCAAGCACAGCAGGTATCAGACAGTGACTCTGTAAAGAGGTGCCTGCATGGGCTGGCACACACCAAATTCCCATTTTTCAAGGGCAGCTTCCCCCAAAGCCAGTACTTTTACCTTTCCCTGCCTCCTGCTAATCCAGTCCCAAATCATCCACATCTTCCCACAAGACAGTCCAATTCTGGGCTTTGTGTGATGGAGAATGGGCACCATTAGGCTGGGGCATTGCTCTGATTTCTGTGCATACAACAGAGGAAAGCCAGCAGGCTCCAACCATTTGTACATCAGTCTCCGCAGCAACAGTTCCTTTTAATTTGCCACAGAGCACTTAGCAGCATCCTGGTCACTCATCTGTCACTTGGTGCTCCAGCTGCCAGCACAGCTTTGCTCCTAGCCCAAGAGTCAGTGCTCTGACATGGGAATGCATCCCACCTGCAGCTGCCACCCACACTTCTGCACCCCCCAGCACGCACAGCACTCCAGGTACTCAGCATTAATTCACAAAGTGATGTTTTATTGATGACCCCAAGAAACCTGACTGAAGGACACGGTCAGAATTCTCCTGGGCCTGCAGCTCACAGCAGCTAACACTGCCAGGGCCTCGGTGACACCACCACGCTCCCTCCCTCCATCACACCTTAAAGCTGCAAGAGGCGAAATCCATTTTCTCCTCCAAACAATACCAGTGAGGAAATAGATGGTCACCTCTGATTTCATGCTGCTGCTGAGCTCAAAGCAGAGGGCTCACCCTGCAGCCCGACAGCCCCTAACTACCAAGGCTGCCCAAGGATGTTTGCTGCTGTTTGTGGGGAAAACAATGCTCCTCTTCCAGGCATCCGTTCCCCTCCTGCCCCCTCCTAATACCACTCTCTTTTTCCCATTGAAAGGTTCAGAACAAAACCTGGCTTGCCTCCAGTTGTTCGTGGTAGGCTTCTGCTATCTCCTCCAGGAAAAGGAGGGGGAACACATTTAAATGCGAATTAATTAAAAAGAACACACTCCATTTGCCTCTATGAAAAGCAAAAGTATTGAAAACCAAAGCGAAATAGACAAACCACCAGCTCAACTGTAAGCAATCCCGGAGTTAAAACATTCCTAAAACAAAGGTGTTTTGCACAGTTTGGAAACCTGTAATTGCTGGAGAAGGATCTGACAAAGGCACAGGCTGTGCCACGTGGTGGGAGAGACTCCTCATCCTCCGGCAGAGGGCAATGGTGGCAAGGCATGGTGATATCAAAAGGGCATTCATCTAATAAAAAAGCTTTAATAAATCCCAGAGCCATGCGTTAGTAACGTGTTGGCTTATTAAACGTGGATGGTTCTTTTTTTAAACCCGGCTAATTGGCGTCAGCTCTGACACTTGCCATAGGGAACATTGGTTTGCTCTGCTGTCAGGTTTAGCATCACTTTTCCCTTCCATCTTCCTGTAGGGCTGCTCAGCCCCACATCATTGCTCCTCGCCTTCCCCCCATTGAACAGAAGCGATTTGGAGCACGTTCAACTGAAGAATGGATTTCACTGAGCTCGTGTATACACATCAGTCACCAAAGTAAAAACGCTGCCTAGATGGAACAACACCAAAAGCTCCAAGCCACCCAAACAAACATCCTCTATGAGCAGCCAGGAGCACCAAGCTCTACTTCTGGGCCCACTGGGAGCAGTGCAGCCCCAGGGATCCCTTACCCTACCCAGGGGCAGCCCCACAGGGTCCTGACCACGAGCTGCTGGTTGGCAGAGAACCCTTGTAAAGCACTGGCTGAAAATAAAGGTAGCAATAAAGCCTCTTGCTCGTTAATTACTCCGTAAGCCGTAACTGCCTAAAAACCCCATAACGTTAATGGGGGCTATTATAAGTATAGTAACAAAACCACAAAGCTAATTATGGTTTAGTTATTAAGTAGAGCATCGCTAGAACTGAGCGCACAGAATTACTTATTCTTTGACATAGGGGGGTGCTGACTCTACCCTCAGCTCTTCTCAGCTTTCTGGGCAGAAGGGCCTCGATTGCAAACCAAGAGAGGTAGTGAAAATGCACCAGAAATGTTTGATTTCCACTGCCCCTCTGCCAGTAAGAGCAGAACCACATCCAGCCATAGGAATCCAGATGTGACCCTCCAGTCCTGAGCCCTTGGTTACAACAAGAACACAAGTTGTCTCATAAAAAAATATAACCAAGAAAAAAAAAAAAAATCAAAACTGAGCTTCTCTGAACAACACTTAGAACTGAAAGCAAGCATGAGGAAAGTGGATCAAGGCAGCTCAACACAAGCACAATTAGTTTCTGTAACTTATTGCCACAGGATACTAAGGAGAACAAGAACTTAACAGGATTCGAAAAGGGATTAGTTGTGTATGTGAATAAACTGCATATCCAGAATTAGAATGAGCCACCCACCCAGTTTGGAAAACACATACACTGTTGAGTCTCAGAGCTTAAGCCAAATTTTAACAAGCATCAGAAACTTTCTCCTCTCCAGATTAACCCCTTCCATGCTGCTCTGCCTTGGCAGATACCTGTAGAGATCAGCAGGGCTGGGAGCAGGACAGGAGATGTGACGGCACCGCTCTCACATTGACAGCAAACATCCTCTCATCTTGCTGTTTCCAACAGCAAAACAGACCTTCTAAGTCCTTAAGAGGTTTAATGCATTGTCCTAAATGTGTTTCCTTTTCTGTACAGAAAAGCAATCAGCACCACAGCTGCAGGTATCGCTTTATTGCAATGCTTTTGAAGAGAGCTGAACACGGGCTTCGCAATCTGCTTGCTCTCAGTAAGGTACCATCAAAAAACATGTCACACACTTGGCAGTGAGAAGCGTGGGTCCTTGGGAACCTCAGCAGCTGGGCCCTGGCCAGCAGGAGGTCTGCCCTGGCTGCTCCCAGGGGATGTGCTGGTGGATCAGGGTTGTTCCAGCCTGGAAAGCTGTAGGTTGATTCAAGCCTTGGATTAGAAAGCTCTTCCAGCACCC